TACAAAATTTAGTTTGTTATCCATATGATGCATAGATTAATTTCACTTATTTAATCGTGTTTAAATATATAAGTTAATAATACTTAATTAACATATCTAATTTATTTATAAAATACATATATCAGTTAGGTTATAACATACCTTTAAAAGTGAGCTAATTATTAAAGGAGGTAAATGTTAATTAAAAATATCAAACATTAAAATTAAAAATAAAATTATAATAGTTGTAATAATAATAGTCTTGGTTGAGAAAAAAACAAAATAGAACATGATAAGGTCTTTTGCTATTGCTAGCCTTTTTGCTAGCTTTATTTCCTTTAGAAAATTGATAAAATTTATTTTGTCTGAGAAAAATAGTAATTATTATATACTCTTTCTTTTTTGCATTTTCAATGCCCAATTTTTATTTAATATAATACAAACATGTTAAATAAAAATATAAAAATTTCATTTGTCCAAAGAGAATAAAAAATTGTATAATTCATGACTTATCAAATGTGTAACACTTGACCAAGAATATCCACAATTTTAAGATCAATACAGTAGAAAAAAATTCTAAATATGAATTCAATTTGGTTAAAAAAAGCAATAAAGAGATGGTGCCAATTATAACCTAACTAAAAGGCATATTAATGAAGACATTTGATTTGCTAAAACCATAAGAAGATATTTGAGAATTGTAGATTGATATATGATTGCTTTGGCTAAAAATAGAAAATACCTCCTGTGACCTATTTTAATGAAAAATTATAATTTTTTATAATTTTTCATTAAAAAAGAAGATTATTAATAAATCATAAGTGATAATACAAATTAGATTTGTTTAATTTTAAATTAATAAATGTTTGTAATTTGTTAATAAAGGAAAAAAGTTTTGATCGTGTACCTCCTTTATCGACAATTCAACTCGCACTTTATTATTTTAGAGACTCTTTTACTATTCTTGGAGTGCTTTTTCTAAAGGTCATTTTCTTGCTAACATTTCTTCATTTTCTTCTTGCATTTCTTTTTTTCAACTTCTCTAAAGATTATAAGGATAAGTTTTGTTGACAATTTACATATACTTTTCAAGAATAATAGTGGTGTAAGATCAAATAAAAAACCAGAAATTAAATTACAAAAAATGCATTGACATACATTTATTAAATTGTAATATTGATCAAAATGTTAATGTGTGCTAATAAAAGAAAGAATTGAATAAAAAATAATATGCATGTTGTGGGATTATTAGATGTGGAGTTTGACATACCTTTATTAAATTGTGATATTGATCAAATGCTGTAAAATAATTGAATAAACAATTATATCGAAAGATAAAATTAAATTATAAAAAAATATTGACATGCTTTAACTAAATTGAGATCTTGATGAAAACCTTGAAAATTTGAAAATTGTTAGAAAATGTGTGCAAAAAAGAAAAAATGAATTAAAAAAAAATGCATGTTGTGAAATTATTAGAATTGGAATTCATATAAATCATATTTTACCTGCACTTGAAAGCAATGTCAATCATAAATTAAAAGAGCTAAACAACAATGATTATCTCTTTAAAATTAAAGTTCTAAATTAATTGAAATCTCTATTTGCACGAATGAAAGGAAAAACTGAATAAGAAATTCTAATGATAAGTTGATAATGTCACAATCTCTTATACGAAGATAGATTATGTAATTTTAAATTAAGATATAAATATAATTTAAATTGAGATAAAATATTTTTTATTTTAAAAGAAAAGTAAAAGAAATCAATAAATCACGCATAACATGTTTGAACAGAAAATTATTAAATTTTAAAAGTTATATTTGAATTTTAGATTTAATATATGTAGATAAGATTGAATTTTAAAAGTTTTGAATAGCTAAATAATTTTTTAAATATATATTTTTGATAAATACCTTAAAATTAGAAAATATATTATGTGATATTATAAAGAGAAATTATAAGGATTTTCTTATGTGTACAAAAGAGAAGGTATCCATATAGGTGTTTAATTTTTCATTAAAAAGAGAAAATTATTAATAAATGATAAGATAAAATAGCTTTGTTTAATTTTGAATTAATAAATGTGTGTAATTTGTTAATAAATCATAAGTGATGATAAGATAAAAAAAAGATATATTTTATTTTAATTTAATAGATTCTTGTGATTTTAAATTGAAAGAAAATATTTATTTTAAATTATGAAGAAAGTGAGGCAAAAATACTTACTAACAGTACCATTGCAATAACAATATCAAATAAGGAAAAATACGTTTTGATTGTGTACCTCCTCTATCTTTAATTCAACTCCCCTCTTTATTATTTAGAGGCTCTCTTACTTTTCTTGGAGTGCTTTTTTCCTAAGCGTCATTTGGTCGCTAACATTTCTTCATTTTCTTTTTGCATGTGTTTTTTTTCAACTTCTCTAGAGATTTTAAAGATAAGTTTTATTGACTATTCACATGTACTTTTCAAGAAAAATGGTGGCGTAAGATCAAACAAAAGAAGAGAAAAATGAGACCTGATACAATGCATCACGAAAAGTTGTGAATTTATGTATATTTGTGGAGTTTAAAAGATTGCATATTTTTCTTGAACTTATAATATAAAAAATTTAAATTAAATTATAAAAAATGCACTGACATACCTTTATTAAATTATAATATTGATCAAAATGTTGTAAACAAAAAGAAGAAGAAGAATTGAATAAACAACAATGGTGGAAGATAAAATTAAATCATAAAATGTATTGAAATGCCTTGAGTAAACTGAGTGGTGATAAAAGTAAATGCAGTTGCCTAATAATTTGAACGTAATGAATTTATACAGGAGAAAAAAAAAATCAAAGACGTAATTACACACTCAAGCTAAAATTGTTTTTGCATATAATTAACTGATAAATGTCAACACTCGAGGGCTGGAAAAGCATTACCTTTTGATTAATGTTTGGTGCTATAAAAATCCAAGAGATTTGGCCAAGTTTTTCATGCTCAAAGTTCAATAATCTAAAATGAAGCCACCTAGCCTTTCAATGTCTCTACTTCTCTTTGCTCTCCTGTCATTTCCATGGGCAATTTTGTCACATAGTCAGGGGATCAACTTCCTCCAATGCCTAGCTCCAATCTCTGGTGTCATTTACACCCAAAATAACTCTTCATTTTCATCTGTATTGGAGTTTCCGTATGCCAACTTAAGGTATTCTACACCAACTACCCCAAAACCTTTAGCCATTGTTACACCGACCCTTGTCTCTCACATCCAAGCAACCGTTAATTGTTCAAGGAAACATGGCATCCAGATTAGAATTCGAAGTGGTGGTCATGACTACGAGGGCCTTTCTTATGTTTCCCAAGTTCCATTTGTCATGATTGATATGATTAATCTTCGATCAATCAATATTGATGTAGAAAACAAGGCTGCGTGGGTTCAAGCTGGTGCAACTATAGGTGAATTGTATTATAAAATTGCAGAAAAAAGTAGAACTCTTGCCTTCCCTTCTGGTGTTTGCCCTACTGTGGCTGTTGGTGGCCATTTCAGTGGAGGAGGTTATGGCATGTTGATGCGCAAGTTTGGCATTGCAGCTGATCACATAATTGATGCACAGTTAGTTGATGTTAATGGAAGAATTCTTGATCGAAATTCCATGGGTGAAGATTTGTTTTGGGCTATCAGAGGAGGTGGAGGAGCTAGTTTTGGAGTGATTTTGGCATGGAAAGTTGAGTTGGTTTCTGTTCCACCAACCGTGACTGTGTTTAGAATAACAAAAACTTTGGAAGAGAATGCAACAAAGCTTGTTCATAGGTGGCAATACGTGGCGCCTAAGGTTCACGAAGATTTGTTTCTCAGAATCTTTTTCAGGGATACAAATTCAACCCAACCAGGAAAAAGAACAATCCGAGCTATTTTCACTACCTTGTTTCTTGGTACAACTGATCAGCTGCTTACATTGATGCAACAAAGCTTTCCAGAGCTTGGACTAGTCAAGGAAGATTGCATCGAAATGAGTTGGATTGAAACAATCATCTACTTCGCAGAAATCCCAAATGATTCCCCACTTGACGCCATGCTTAACAGGAGATTATATCCTGACGCATTCTTCAAAGGAAAATCAGACTATGTAAAGGAACCTATACCTGAAACTGCATTAGAAGGGTTATGGAAAAGGTTTCTTGAAGAGAAACCAGGGGCGATGGAAATTATCTTCAGCCCTTATGGAGGGAAAATGGATGAGATTCCAGAGTCTGAGATTCCCTATCCTCACAGAATCGGGAACATATACAGCATTCATTACAATGTATCGTGGAGAAAGGAAGATAATTTGGAAGCTCCAAAGCATATTAATTGGCTAAGAAGGCTTTACAGTTACATGGCACCCTATGTCTCAAAACATCCAAGGGCAGCTTACATGAACTATAGGGATCTTGACCTTGGAATTAATAACAAAGGAATTTACACCAGTTACAAACAAGCAAGCGTGTGGGGTCTTAAATATTTCAAGAATAACTTCGACAGGTTGGTTCGAATAAAGACGAAGGTCGATCCACAAAATTTTTTCAGACATGAACAGAGTATTCCTTCTGTTTTACGTGAATAAAAAGAGAGATGATAAATGTTCATTTGTAATAAGTGAGAATATCCTCACTATTTTATGACTTTATGAAATAAAAATGTGCATCCGAATTTCAGTGTGTGATGTAATACTCTGCTCAAAAGTAAGATTTCGAGTCCTTTTTCAAATTATAATAAATAAATAAATATGTTTGATATTTTTAAAATAAATGCATTTTTTAGATTATAATCCATATTTCGTATTAAATCATGCACGAATGACCCGTTAAAATAAATATTGGACCGACGCAATTTACACACCTGGGCCGATGGGTGTAGCCCGTTTGACACCTCCGTTATAAAACTGTAACTATAATAAAAAAAAGGGCTTATGGGTTAACCCAAATAAGAAAACGGGTGGGTTATTAGACCCATGTAATGGATGTGTTCCTACAAAAACAGAGACCTTTAGGTTTTTAGGAGGGTTTAAAGGCGGCTACCTCCACCAACACTTTTCCCTTGCCATTTCATTCTCTTCTAGATCTCATCCCATTCTTACTTCTCAAATCTTTTGTTTCATTCATTTTTCCCCTAAAAAATTTCCCACTTTTTCATTTGTTTCGTATGTTTTCTTAGAAAAAAAGAAAAGGAAAAGTCCTAGAGAAAGATTTTCTTTTGCCTTGCCCAACATTGTATCTTTCAGCTTTGAATTGGAGTCATTTATTAAATACAAACACAACATAGTTCAAGCATGTGGAGACGCTTAGTTAAGCAAGCTTCCAATAGACAAAAGTTTAAATTTGTCCCTGAATCATATACTTCCTCGCTTTCTTCATGTTCTTCTACAGGATTTTGTCAGGATTCAGTTTTTATCAATAAATTCAGTCCTTCCATGGCCAAAAGAAATGGCTTTTGTGGGTGCCCAGTTCTGGATTTTCGCGAAAATGGTGTCTTCTCTTTGCAAAAGCATGGTTTGGGCAGATCCAGTTTGTCTCAATCAGGTAACTCTTTAAGTTTTTCTGGGAAATTTTGGAATTTGAAAGGGTATGCAAGTACTGCTGAGGCTATTATTTCTACTGAAGAGGACCTTTCGGGGTCAGAAGAAATCCATGAATTAATGGGAGCAATGATCAGAGAAGAGAAGAAAGAGTCCTTTTCAAAGCAACCAAGGACGATGGTAGGAGGAATGGGGGTAGCAAAGTACTATACGTTAAGGAGGAGGCAAATAAAGATCGAGACCGAGGCATGGGAAGCGGCAGCTAAAGAGTACCAAGAATTACTAGCAGATATGTGTGAGCAAAAACTTGCTCCGAATTTGCCTTATATTAAATCATTGTTTCTTGGTTGGTTTGAGCCTTTGAGAGATTCTATTGCTGCTGAGCAAGAGTTGTGCAAGGAAAATTTCAAGATAAGTCATGCTGCTTATTTTAGCGAGTTGTCAGCGGATATGATGGCGGTAGTTACCATGCACAAATTAATGGGGTTGTTGATGACTAGTAGTGGTGGAATTGGGGGTATTAGGGTCGTCCATGCTGCTTGCCAGATTGGTGAAGCCATTGAACATGAGGTGAGGACGTTATAAATTCTTCCAGTTGTAAATTTTTCTTTTTATTGGGTTGGCTGCATTAGGTTCAGTAAATTTGTTTGTGTGATTTTGATATATATGTCCATCCGTGGTGGACAAATTTAAGAAAACTATGAGCCTTTGTTAAAGCTTTTCAGTTGATAACATGATTGATAACATTATTGCTGGAGTTTATAGTATTCTATTGTTAAAAATACCCGTATGTTAGTGAAGTAGAACTTACTTAAAGATTCGGTATGGTGATTGGTAGGACTATTTCTGAAAGTTAACATGGTAATTTGTGACATTGGAATAGTTTTTGTCTTTTGTAGGACAGTTCACTTTGGAAATGAAGTTGGAGTTAAGATTATTAGTAAAATTCTGTTTTCTGCTTCACATGATAGAATTTGTGAATTTCTGGATGATATAGATTCAGGAAACTTAAGTATGGTGGAAAAACACATCTCTTTGGAGCAATTTGTACTTGGCATTATTTAAGGTTTTTTTGTTAGAGGAATTGTCATTGTCAAAGCACTATAATGTTTTGGGTTGTCTTCAACGGAACATTTTATTGACATTGAGTTTTTTTCCCTTTTTTGCTTAAAGATGCAAGATAGAGCTGTTTATATTAAATTCAAATTATAGATTTGTGCCTTATACCCTGGGAGCATTTTGCTATTTCTTGTTGAGAACTAATTAATGGTTGTTTCTCGGATCAGGCCAGGATACAGAAGTTCTTGGATAAGACACAGAAAAAGAAAACAAAAGATAAAAAACCTGATATTGAATCTGAACCTGTGACCAATGAACAAGAGAAACCGGACAAAGACCAGGAAAAGCTGAGGAAAAAGGTGACTCAATTGATGAAAAAGCAAAAGGTGCATCAGGTGAGAGAAATAGTGAAGGAGCAGGATACTACAAAGCCATGGGGTCAGGAGGCACAAGTTAAGGTGTGTGATTTTTGCAATTGTAAAAATCTGTTCTGGTTTTGGTCGGTTCATAATGTTGTATCATGGTGTTGCCCATTGTAGGTTGGCTGCCGTCTGATTCAGTTATTGATGGAAAAAGCCTACATACAACCACCAGTTGATCAGTTAGGAGATGGCCCACCTGATATTCGCCCTGCATTTATACATGCTCTAAAAACTGTCAGCAAAGATGGAAAGTGGGTAGCTGCATCTATATTTTATTTGTTCTCTCTCTGTCTCTCTCACTTTTGATTTCTTCCTCATTCACTCATAACTCACATCAGAGTATTTATTTTTGTGTTTATCCTTCATCAGCAAAGGCAGTAGGAGATATGGTGTTATTGAATGTGATCCACTAGTTCGCAAAGGACTTGAGAAAACTGTAAGTGGAATAATTAATGGTCTTTAAGACATAGTTCTTAACAAGCATGCCACTCATAAACATTTTCCCCCTTGAATAAATCTCTATTCTTGAAAGTATATGGATGAACTAATCTCTGCTTGTGCAACCAGGCTAGGCACATGGTCATTCCTTATATGCCAATGCTAGTGCCCCCTCAAAACTGGACAGGGTATGTACTCAAGGTTCTATTTTTGTACGGTTTATTTTCCGCTGATTCTATTGATTTCCCCCTATTCATTCAGATATATAGACATCTTAGTTCAAAGTTCTTCCAGCTTATTTAATATCTTCAGATCTCAGCTTGAAACAGCCTTATGTATATATTTCACTTGTTCAGTTCTATTCTCTGGGTTTAGCTCTGATGAATTTTGTGATATTTTGGCAGGTATGACCGAGGTGCATATTTGTTTTTACCATCATATGTCATGCGGACGCATGGAGCAAAACAACAACGCGAAACTGTTAAAAGAACACCAAAGACACAATTAGTGCATGTTTTTGAGGTTTGAAAATCCTTGAGATTTATATTGTTGATCTCTATGTTGTGCACTTTTAAGTGTTGGCAATTCATTCTTTACATTTTCTTCTAACATGAAAACAAAAGCAATAAGTTGTTGTCACTCACCAACTTTATGTAACTGTTTGATATAGCCTCTCTGCATTGTTGCATTGATTCTTTTGTTTCTTGTGCATCAGGCTCTTGACACACTAGGAAATACCAAATGGAGGATAAATAAAAGGGTTCTTGGTGTAGTAGACAGAATATGGGCTAATGGTGGCCGTATCGCAGACTTGGTTGACCGTGAAGATGTGTGTACATACAAAATAAGCAGAATTTGATTTTCTTTTGCTGGTTTATGTTCTTTTTTTATTCATTATATTTCATTTTCTGAAGGAGAGAAAGTCATCATTTTGTTGTGAAGTCTATTTTTTTAGTGCTGCTTGAATATGAAAATCTGCAACACTGTTCTTTCTTATTTTTCAAGTTAATGATCATCCATCACTTTTTATTTTTTAAATTTTAAACAGGTTCCTCTGCCTGAGGAGCCAGACACTGAAGATGAAGCAGAAATTCGGAAATGGAAGTGGAAGGTAAAAGCTGTCAAAAAGGAGAATAATGAAAGGCATTCACAGCGGTGTGATGTTGAACTTAAACTTGCTGTAAGAAGCTGCCTTTATCGGTGACATCTACTTAGGCTTAGTTTAGCATTGCTGTTGTAATTAGCTTTTGCAATCAAAATTTTCTTTTGACCCAACCTCAATGCTAAACAAGAAATATGTTGCTTTTCAATCTAAAAACCTGGTTTGCAAACCCAAACCAAAAAGCTCCTTTTGCTGTGAAAAGTGCTTTTGGAATAGAAAAATAATTATATTATCCTATATTTCTAATATTTTATTATTTTATGCATAGCTTTTTAGACATTTCAATTACTCAATACTTTTTCACAGCAATACTGAACACTTAAAATTTTGAACCACACCTTTAAATGCACTTTTTTCAACTCAAATTTTTTTCTAACCACAACAGCTATGCTAAACTAACCCTTAGTCTGATATCATGTTCTTATGTTGTATATTAACTATTTTCTGTTGGAGATAGGTGGCTCGACAAATGAAGTATGAGGATGGCTTCTACTACCCTCACAACCTTGATTTTCGAGGCCGAGCATACCCTATGCATCCATATCTAAATCATCTCGGCTCTGATCTATGTCGAGGTGTCTTGGAGTTTGCAGAGGGACGCCCCCTTGGGAAGTCAGGCTTACGCTGGCTGAAGATACATTTGGCAAATTTATATGCTGGAGGGGTGGACAAGTTGCCCTATGAGGGTCGAATAGCTTTTACAGAGAATCATTTGGATGATATCTTTGATTCAGCAGACAGATCTCTTGAAGGAAGGCGCTGGTGGTTGAGTGCAGAGGACCCTTTCCAATGCTTGGCAGCATGTATTAATCTCTCTGAAGCAATGCGAAGCTCCACTCCAGAGAATACCATTTCGCATATGCCTGTCCACCAGGTATTTTCCCCCTAGCAAAATTGAACAAGCAGATACATAATTTCTTTTTTATTTGCTAGTTCCTTGGATGATAAGTCAAATGTTTTTGGAAACCAACATACATTCATGCACACACACACACACGTGTGTGTGCCTGCCCACTCTTTGGACTTTGGAGGTATTTTTCTTTTAAGGATGCAATAACCTCCATCTAGGATTTTTTGTGATTGTTATCACTGTGTTGGAAGATGAGACCGTGTTTGCTTCATGCCATTGATTGATACAGGTAGCTACAAGAAATATGTTATATTTTATGTGATTATTTTGCCATTATTGCTGTTTTTTTATGGTTTTGACGATCATTTGATGAACCCTGCTTTGAGTGTCTCATCATATTTCCATTGTCTGAAGCATAATATTGGGTTTTTGTCTTAATCTTCTGCAAGGATGGTTCGTGCAATGGTTTACAACACTATGCTGCCCTGGGAAGGGATAAGGTAATGCACTTCTTTTTGTCATATTTCATACCTATGATTTTATCCAGCTTTACCAAATTTGGATGTCTAAAATTGTTTTTCTTTTACTAAAAACAGAAAGCATTAGCTATTGAGTCATTCCAAATATGCCCTTAACCATATTGTTAATTAGAAGTTAAAGGAAAGATCCATTCAAGATTTAGGGTATGGCTATAGAGGAAAAGGGATTTGAAGGATCTACAGGGTTAGAGGGGAGAAAATGTTCAACTATATCCATACATGTCACATGTTGATTCTTGAATGCGGTTTTTTTGATCACCAGGGTATCTCTTCATTCTCACTCTTTTTATAGAATGGCTTCTTCACTCATAGATAGTGAAAAGTCATTAAATTTTTTTTTATTAATTAGGGTAGTCCGCTTTTATCCCTGGTTACTGAATTTTCAACATGTATTTATAATGAATGAAATATTTATATGATTGACTAAATTTGTTTACATATGCATGAGTAACTTTCTTTTTTCCCTTTGTTATGTTAATTGAGCTGCTTTGGCTTTCAGTTGGGAGCAGCTGCAGTGAATCTTGTTGCAGGAGACAAACCAGCTGACGTCTATTCAGGAATTGCTGCCCGGTAATTATTACTTACTCTCTCTAATTCCCTCCACCACTCATGCAGTGGCAGGAGACTCAACCATTTTGGTTTATATGTAAATGCTAACTAATGGCACTTCAATGGCTGTGGTTAGATCGTTTTTACCATTTTGAATGCTAAGGGCTAAGATCATGATCCTTTAACCTAAATTCCCAAATTTCTGCAACTATTGGCCTCCATAATTCCAAGCAGGTAGACTAGCCTAACTACGTCCTACATCAATATCTCTCTGTGCAGAATGGTTTGGTGCTGGGACATCAAATTGTCCTTAAAATCATTCTATTTGGGAGTTTGGAAATTTTAGCTGAAATGCTGTTGGAAAAGATTCAAAATATAAACTGCAATCCTGATTCTGATAAGAGTGCTTTACACTTTTGTTTTAAACTGTGTTAAATTATCGACATTTGAGTGCAAAGGCAGCTTCTGTTTCTGGCAACTTAGAGGAATGCACATTAATGAATTTGTGTGAGTTTTATCATGGATTCGCAGATCCATATATTTCTGTTAACAGTCTGGTCCAACCAAGTGTATGAGTTGTTCATTTGACTTGATTGGATAAATGTTTTTACCTGGTTTCTTCAGCGCTTCAGAATTTGTATAAAATTGTCTTGGAATGTTGAGTTTACCAAAGATCAATATTCTTTCATTGACCTATATAAATCAATTTGCTATTCTGGTGCAGAGTTCTTGATATTATGAGGCAAGATGCAGAGGAAGATACTGCAGCAAATCCTAATGCGTTACATGCTCGGCTTTTAATCAATCAGGTTCGTTTCATTTCTTTTCTGTTTGTTGAACGAAAGGAGGAGAGAATCTATGAAAAAGTTATAATAAATAGGTGCTGGGAATTCTTCAATAATCTAATTTTTATATTTGGTCAACTGAAATTGGAATGCATATACTTTTGTGGTAAGTTCCTGATGTCAGGAGTTTCATAGCTTTCAATTGTGTGTCTATCTTATTACTGATATTTTACCTTTACTCTTTCGAATCTTTAGGTTGACCGGAAATTAGTGAAGCAGACTGTGATGACCTCTGTGTATGGTGTTACTTATATTGGTGCACGTGACCAGATCAAGAGAAGGTTGAAGGAGCGATGTGTTACTGCAGACGATGCAGAGCTTTTTATTGCATCTTGCTATGCAGCAAGAGTGAGTAATTGTTTTGTGTGTGCATGCATGTATGTGTCACTGTCTGGTTGAGGTTTAACTTGATCATTTTCTTGTATGTTCAGACCACCTTGACTGCCCTGGGAGAGATGTTTCAAGCTGCAAGAAGTATCATGGGTTGGCTTGGTGAATGTGCAAAGGTCTGTCATTTATTGATATATTTTTTTTCTTTTGGTAATTTTGTAATTGTGAATGCTGGTAATCATCGGTTCAGAAGTTAGCAAATGGCTCGTCTATAGACAGATTTATGAATGCATCCCACATGCAAGAAGGCCAGAAAAGTAGGTTAAAGAAAACTAGGAAGAAAAGATTGTGCTTTGAAGTCTTAGGGTTTGGTTTTCATGGTTTTATTTTATGGGGTAACTTGTTTTGGGGATTCAGAAATTTTGTTTGGTTTAGAAGAGCAATTTCATATATTTTAATATATCATGTTTTTGATCATTGGTTTGGCACTTGTATTTCTATACTTAAAACCAAAGTACTTAATGTTCATTGAACTGATACTAAAGTATTTTTAGGGAATGTATGAAAATCTTTATATTGGCTATTGGTGACAGCTTCTGGTGAGATTAATTAAATAATTCAGAATGAAAATCCTCTTTATTTAGACAATATCTAATTTATTTGGTGACACCCTACTAATATGTTTTTATGGCTTCTTTTTCACACGCATATACATATCGTGTTTGGACTTTGGAATTCTGTGACGTGAGAAATTTTTTGTCATACATGTAGCTTTCTGTCTTAATTTCTGTGTGATACACTCCCTTATTGCACAAAGCATGGGCTATGTCTCATAGAATAGTATCTTGATTTTTTATTTTCCAATTTTTTTCTAGCATACTTCTAGATGCTGACAGACTGAATATAAACAGGTTATAGCTTCTGAGAATCAGCCAGTGCGTTGGGTTACTCCACTTGGTCTTCCAGTTGTACAGCCTTACCGGCAATTAGGACGGCATCTTGTAATGCTCTAAGATGTTTAAGGAACTTATCCTCATTTTGTACTGTGCAAAAATGAAAGAAGGCAGTAAAACATTCTGATGCGTTTAATTTGATGCAGATAAGAACTTCCCTTCAGGTGTTGACTCTACAACGAGAAACTGACAAGGTAATTTTCTGTCCTTATGTGTGCCCTTTAAGGTTGCTGAGTATTATTATTTAGCCAACAAAAGGTTGCCAAATATTTTATGATTCTTTCTTCATCTGTTGTTGCATAACAAAAGGTAACTCTTGATTATATGTCCATGGCAAGAAACCATTTTCTTAATCATCAGTTGTTGTGCAATTTTAGGTTGCTCATATTCATATCCCATTTGCAATGTTGCCATGTGTACCTTTCTTTCAAGGTTGGTAAAACTGTGATTGTAGGTCATGGTTAAGCGGCAGAGAACAGCATTTCCCCCAAATTTTGTTCACTCCCTTGATGGCTCCCATATGATGATGACTGCTGTTGCCTGTAAAAAGGCAGGCTTGAATTTTGCAGGTCTGTAATGAAATTTTCATGTGTGATTTTTAGTGCATGCATGCGTTCATATCTTTGTCTATCTGAGGAACTCTAAAGTCAATGCTAATCTTGTCACAGGGGTCCATGATTCATACTGGACGCATGCATGTGATGTTGATGAAATGAACAGGATACTAAGAGAAAAGTTTGTTGAACTCTATGAGGCACCAATACTAGAGAATGTAATGTATCTTTGCCTCTGGATTCTGCATCATAATTTATATTGAGGAGAATGCTTGCTGGGCTTATTTTAGAGCCTTTCCTTGTGAAATGTGTAGTTCTATCTGCCAAATTCAAGTTAAATAATAAAAAAAAAGGGAACCAGTTGAAAGACATTGTCAAACTTCTAAAAATCATTGTGAATATTAGGAACACATTTTTGAAACTAGAAATAGGTGATAGCATTACTTGTTTTCTTTCATGCCTTTTCCTGACGTTTCATTATGATGATGATTTCAAGTAAACACATTCATGGAAAAGGTAATATATATAAATGGCATAGGGATACCCTTACGTTAGGATGGAGTTGAAGATCTGCCAACTGGTTATTCGTATTTGTGTATAGGATATTAAGAGTCTTGTTAATCTAAGTGTCATTATTGGAATCCTCGAATATCTTTGATAGATCGAGGAAAACAAAATTGTCAAACTGAAATATACATTTGTTGCATTTGATGGGTTATGTTTTCTGCTGCTGGTTGCATGATGGTTTCATTTGTGCTTACAGTTGTTGGAAAGCTTTCAGAAGTCCTTCCCTTCACTGAACTTTCCGCCCTTGCCAGAGCGGGGAGACTTTGATCTCAGAGAGGTTCTGGAATCTCCCTATTTCTTCAACTAGCCTGATCCAGATGCCATTGACTGTTTTCTTCATCAAATTCCTCTTATATGTCATCGAGCAACATATAATGGCAATCATATATTCTTTCACCAAGGGCATGAGATTGTGAAGAGGCAAGCTCTTTTAGCAGCACCCTATTAAGGTCAGAAGAGAATAATATCTCAAGAGTAGGGTGCCAACAACAATCATTGCCCCGTGGGTACTTAGTGTACATATGTTATACAAAATAAACAGTTACTTATTGCCCCACGTTTGAAGTTGGGGCGTTGATCCACCATTTATATTAAAGGATTTGAAGAAATAAATGGCGAAGAACAGCTCTAACAGTCTTGAAGCAAGGCAGTTTGGTGTGAGCTGTACACAACTGGTTGAGGAAGCGATCCAGACCATGGAAACTTCAACTAAGCATGTGGATCATCAGTCTTTTAGCAAGCAATCATTAGCAGGCATGGAAGAAGCAGGTGTTTCCATTGTTGGCCTGGCTCACGGAAGTTATTCCAGGGATCCTTTGTGTGTGTTCTTCGTTCTGTATTTCATGTTCATCAGCTGACAGAGTTTCCAAGAAGTGTATAAACTCTGAATGCTTTGCTGTTCCTTGAATTACAACAAAGTTTCTTCTTTTAGTAAAATGGTTAAAATTAATTAATTTATTTTTTCCGATTAAAAATTAAAAACTTTCAATATTAATTTTTTTATTAATCAACAAATATTTTTGCAATTTTTTTGCTAACACTTCTTACGTTCTAATCTATTTGTATCTTTTACTTTCAAATAAAAATAAATCAGATGTAGCAGATGTTAAGCAATCAAAATCTAGAGTAAATTGCAGTTAGTTACTAAATGTTTTGATTTGTTTATATTTGTAAATATAGTGTTAAATAGTCCGAATTTGAGAATGAAAATATATATAATAATAGCATTGTATGTAAATAATATTACAAATTTTACGAGAAAAATATTTAATGCCTCACACTCTAATTATTCGAATTTAACATATTCTTTTAACGCTTGAGTAATTTTTTTTTTTTATAAAATTTAAAAAATTAAAAGGGTTAAAATTTAAATGCATCTGTTAAATATTATTTTTTAAAAATAAATATATTAATTAATTAGATTAAATTTTGAATTCAACTATTTTAATATATTTCGTCTTCAAATAAAATTTAAATTTATCTATTAAATATTATTTTTTAAAAATAATTATACGAATAAACTGGATTAAATTTTAAATTATTTTTTTAGCATATTTCATCTTCAAATAAAATTTACAAATCTTGAATTCATTTATCGTGTGAGGTTTATAGACGTCTTCTCTTGTAGACTATCTCTGTCTCGTAATTAATAATGTTGCGTCGTATGATACTATCTCTTTGCTGTACATTTTGGAAGCATTATTAGATCAACTTATCATGAAAATTGAATTTATATAGCTTTAGAAAGAAAGACTGTTTCCAAAGATGCAATGAAATCAAAATTTTCAAATATTAGATAAAAACATTTCCCATGAGAAAATATTTAATTCATTTGAGGATAATATAGCCAAAACGAAAAATCATTTGAGGATAAAAAATTATATTTGAAGAAAATGCAAAAGAAGGAAAGAGAGAGAGAGAAAAAAAAGGAGAGAATGAACAACAAGGAAGAGAACAAGAGTGAATATAGGAGAATGAAAAAAAAAAAAGAAAAATATTAACAAAATGAGTAAGAAAGAAAAATATTGGAAAAAAAAGATAAGAGAAAGCAAATGAAAATGATAGGATGAAAATATTTTTAAAAAAGGAGAAATTGGAAAAAGAAAAAAAATTGGATAAAAAAGGAAGAGACACAGTGTACAAGAAAAAAGAAGGCCAAAAAAAAATTGAAAAAAAATGAAAACTAAAGAAAACAAGGAAGAGAAAAATAGAAGAACTTGGGGGTAGAGAAAAAGAAACAATCTTGAAATTAACTAGTAATAGCCTTACTTAAAATTTTAAAAAATTATAAATTCAAATATTTGCTTTTCCTTTGAACTTAATAATAAAAAATAAACTAAAATAAATTTTACACTTTTATCTTACAAAAAATATTTTGTAAACATGAATTTAAATTTTTATCTTAATATGAAATAGAAATGATACAAAAAAATCACCAAAACTAAGTTGAAATTAAAAAATTACAATAAAATTTTTATTTTCTTCACCTAAAAATAATTCTATAAGAAAAAAAATTATAAAAGCTTGCATTGACATAAAGGCTGATTTCTTGCCCTTGTCATGTTGATTTAACTAGTTTAATGTTATTGTCTAAACTACTATGATGTTGATCATAATCTATAGTATACTTACTATATGCTTCAAAAAGCAAAGAAGATAAAACTGTCCAACCACTCCTGATTATCTTTTTATTAATGTCAAGAATATACAGAAAGTCAAGTCTAAGGCCAGTCTCATCCCTCTGACCAAGTCTGCAAGCCAAGAGGAAATTGCCCAATATTTTCAATTGGTCAAGATATCAACAAAGAAACGGTCTATGCTAAAATTGGAAACCTCAAAACGGATGAATCTTTATTGGAGGAAAAAAATTATAACGCTATAATTGTTCTACATAGACCTCTTAATTCTGGTAACTATAATTTTTTTTAATGTTCGAACGTTTGATTTAATGATTTGGAATATATTTTTTCTTGCGGATTAATATCCAGAAGCAGTTTCTTAGTACGTCTAGAACTATTAGCATGGATGAGAACTGAAATGAAGCAGATAAAATAAATTTGAGCTGCCTCCAAAGAACAAGGCTATTGGAGGATTTGCTTTTGAAAGAAACCTTCAAAAATATTAAAAGCATGTTCAGTTCTTCAACACCAATGTCTAGTTTTGTTTCCTTTGTCAAACAAAAAGTTTTGTTTTTCATCATATCATGTATATGCATGAAGTACATAGAGATACATACATACATAATTACGCATAGAAGATACATGGAGAGAGTTTTGACTTTGGATGTAAGAAATTAAAATTGGTTACTTTCAGGATGATAACATGATATTCACGTATACATTCATATATATATATATATATATATATATATATTTACTGAACTACCGTGGAGAAGAGACTGATTCAATGAGATACTTTTTTCTTAAAACCTCTTTTACCCCAACTCCAGTCTTCAGGCTCTGCAAGTTTGCTCAACAGTCAATACCAGGAGGATCCTTGGAGGTTGCAGTTCTGGTTTGATGTCGGTATGAGCTTTTCAAAATTTTTCTCTACTTCATGTAAAATTTAATCGTTCATACTCTAAAGCCTCTCTTAAGTTAGAAAACTACCAAATATTACTCAAACTCGCAGAATATATTGAAACAATGGACCGCATCAGCAGCTTAAATTTTGAAGATGTATTTCTACTCTTAGCATGCTAAATCTTTCATGGAATTACTCAAGCTTTTCTTCTTCATTTGAATTTCTCGTTTTTTTTTTTTTTTTTCTAAAGTTCATAAAATAGCTATTCGTACTTTCTTAAGATTTGTTCAATTAAGGTAAATGAAACTACCAAAATGATCAGCTCGCAATGAGCTCCAATTTCAGAATAACAAGAAATGGAAACTAGTTATATCTTGGCTTAGCTTGACCAAGCTTTATTGATTAAACATCCTTTTTTTTTTTTTTTTCTTTTGTCTTTCTTCAGATGGACAACACTTCCTTTTCTAGTCCTATTGAATCCTTGGTGGCAGATATTTCAGCAATCACAGAATCAGTAGAATGTATAGAAGCAGAGCAGGAAAATTTTATTGAAGTGGGATGCTACCTTTATCGAGTTTTTCCAGTCATAATGGAGCTGAAGTACACTGAGAACCCCCCAAAAAATGCAAAAGAGATTCTACAGTCTCTTTCCCAGAATGTCAAGCTGGTAAAAAATCTTGTGGGGAAATGCCATAAAGAGAACCTTCCAGTCACAGATACTAAACTGGGAAGCATCATAGCCCAGCTAGAATGTGTGGTAAAAGAAATAGGTGAATGTTTGTGTTTGATACCATCTGCAACATTTGGGGGTGAGGAATATGCAGAAACTGCAGTCCGGGCTCTTTCTGATGAAATGCAGGAAGTCCACTTTGAAGTTAAGCAACCCCAAGTACTACAAACCAAAGAGCTAGAACCACAGATGTCTTTTGCATCAGAACAACCTAAAAAATTGCAAATGCCAATCGAAAGTTCTCAAATGCCACAAGAATCAGATCTGTACCCTGTCGATGACCAAGTCTCTGTCTCCACAGAAAGTTCTCAAATTTTGAGCACGCCACACCTAGTTGATTTCCTTAATATTTCAAGTCAGAGAAGCCAATGGCACCGTGAGGACATAAACAAATCCTTGACAACATTGCCACAGGTGGCTCACTATATTGAACCTCTGTACGACACTTTCTTCTGTCCATTAACTAAGCATATTATGAATGATCCAGTTACCATTGAAAGTGGAGTGACCTATGAGAGGAAGGCGATAACGGAGTGGTTCGAAACGTTCAGTCATCTAGAGGATGTAATCTGTCCCACCACAGGGATGAAGCTAACAAGTACAGTTTTAAGCACCAATGTTGCTCTAAAGACCACGATACAGCAATGGAAGGATAGGAATGAGGTTGCAAGGATCAAGGTTGCCCGTTCCGCGTTAACTTTGGCTAGTTCGGAGAGTATGATACTAGAGGCAATAAGAGATCTGCAACATATCTGCAAAAGGAGACGGTATAATAAAGTAAAAGTACTTGGTGTTGGAATTGCGCCATTGCTTATTAAGTTACTTGGATATGAAAACAAAGATGTTAGATGTGGGGCTTTGGAACTATTACGCCAATTGGCTGAAGAAGATGATGAAGGAAAGGTTTGATTCTTATTATTTCCTGATATTTATTTTAAACCCAAAAAAAAAAAAAAAATTACAGCATGATTGTAGAGCTTAACCTGAATATCTGTGATATATCCTTCAGAATGTTGCAAACAGTAATGGATATATATCCAGCCTTCTGATATTAATAGATTTTAGTATGCACTAAAATTTTGAGTTAGCATATGCACTTTTACTGTGAACAAATCATTTAAGAGTTGAGAAACATTTTCCTTGGAGATCATGTGCACTGTTTTATTCATATTTTGTGCAGGAAATGATTGCCAATATAATGGATATATCAACATTAATTAAGTTGCTAACAAGCAGCCACCAGCCAATTCGGCATGCATCATTGCTTTTCTTACTTGAGCTTTCAAGATCTCAAGCTTTGGGTGAAAAAATTGGGTCAGCTGCTGGAGCAATCTTGATGCTGATCAGAGTTAAAAACAATCGCCATGTTGATTCCTTTGCTTCAGAAAAAGCAGAAGAAATTTTAAAGAACCTGGAGAGATATCCAGATAACATAAAGCGGATGGCAGAGTATGGATTCTTGGAACCTCTTTTAAATCATCTAACAGAAGGTATGATTGACCTTCTTTCAAACAATAAAATTACAACAGCAGTTAGCTGATAACTACTAATCTCAAGGGAACTATTTCTAAACTATACATTAATAGCAGTTAGATTAACAGAAGGATGGATTCAAGTCTGATAATATAATTCAAACATGTTTCTAAGTCTAATGCAAGTATGCTGATTACAGTTACATGTATAAACAAACAGGTTCCGAGGAGGTGCAGATGGAAATGGCAAGCTACTTGGGGGAAATCATTCTTAGTAATGACAGCAAAACCTATGTGGCTGAGAGGGCTTCTTCTAGTCTCATTAAAATGGTGCATAGTGGAAACACCATTTTCAGAAAGGCAGCATTTAAGGCTCTAGCACAAATCTCATCTTACCATCCAAATGGCAAGATACTTGTAGAAGCTGGTATTGTCCACATTATGGCTGAAGAGATTTTCACTCGTAGGATATATGATGAACCAATGAACTCAAAGAAAGAAGCTGCTGCAATACTTGCAAATATTCTTGAGTCTGGTGTTGAGCATGACAGCATCCAAGTAAATACTCATGGCCACAGGCTAAGCTCAGATTATGTTGTCCAGAACATTATCTACATGCTTAAGAATTCAACTCCAGATGAGTTCACCATCAATCTCATCAGAATTCTCTTATGCCTGACAAAGTCACCCAAGTCAATGGCAACAATTATCTCAGTTGTGAACGAGACTGAAGCAAGCTACACCCTCATTGAACTCATCAATAACCCAAATGAACAACTTGGGGTTGCAGCAATCAAGCTGCTCATTTCCCTTGCACCCCATGTTGCTAACACACTAGCAGAGAGGCTCTGCAAAACCAGGGGGCTACCTGAGAGTTTAATTGAGAGCCCTACTGAAACTAACCATATCACAGAGAAGCATGCAGTTTCTGCAAAATTCCTGGCAAAACTCCCCCAACAGAACCTAACACTCAACCTTGCTCTTCTGAACAAAAATGTTGTCACCACAATCCTTCGGAAAATCTTTCTATTCCAAATAAGTGGAACAAGAACTAGCAGGCATGCAACTGTTTACTTAGAGGGCCTTGTAGGAATTCTTGTTAGATTCACAACTACACTGTATGAACCACAAATCTTGTCCCTAGCAAGAACTCACAACCTCACGTCAGTGTTCACAGAACTTCTCATGAAGACATCTAGTGATGAAGTTCAAAGACTGTCAGCAACTGGACTGGAGAATCTCTCATTAGAGTCGATAAATCTATCACGGCCACCACAAATTAAGAAAACCAAGTTTATGAAATTGTTCCACCTACCGAAGTTCCTATCTTCCAGTTCATCAAAAAGGAGAAAGATACCAGTACTATGTCCAGTTCATAGAGGTGCTTGTTCTTCAGAAAGCACATTTTGTTTGATAGATGCTAAGTCTGTAGAAAGGTTGTTAGCATGTCTGGATCATGAGAATGGTGAGGTAGTTGAAGCTTCATTGGCGGCTATATGTACTTTGTTGGATGACAAGGTTGATGTGGAAAAGAGTGTGAGCTTGTTGAGTGAAGTAAATGCTATTCAACATATCTTGAATGTAGTGAAAGAGCACAGACAAGAGGGCCTGCGGCATAAATCATTTTGGATGATAGAAAAATTCCTAGTGAAAGGTGGAAATAAGTCAGTTTCAGATATATCACAGGATAGGTTGCTGCCTGCCTCATTGATTAGTGCTTTTCATCATGGGGATGGTAGTACAAGGCAGATGGCTGAGAATATTTTAAGACACTTAAACAGGATGCCAAGTCCATCAACTACTTATTATACCATGTAAAAAGACGCTCGAATTTCACTCCAGTTTTCGGGTCAAAGATATTCCACTGTAAGACCAAGTACGTTCCCATTATTCTAATAGCAGTAATTCTAAGTTGTGATGGAAAGAACAAAATAAAAACTTATTTTATGTTACCATTACCATTTCTTTCTACCCCCAGGAGTTCTTTCTGTGCCTTTGGTTTGACTTTGGAGAAGATTTAAAGTGGTCTCAGGCAGAAGAAAAATGTGGCATGCGGCATTGCCTGCCCCTACGCTGCCTATATTGAGCAGTCGAATCCCATATTTTTTTACACCTTATAAACATACCCTACCAAATTGTCTGCACTACATATGTTATCTTATTTGCTGGCAGAGACGACAGACCTACTTGCTGTAACCAGAGGTCCCCGAAGTACTGATTATCCCTGGGTACATGAACTAAAGAAATCAATAAGGCTTCAGCAGAGAAAAGGTTTTACTTGTTTGTGAATTTTCAAGAGACATTAGCCTCGGCATTGGCCTGCAGGAATTGGCTGGCAGTCTGCTAAATACAGTTGCTGACATAATAAATGTTCTTTTCAACGTCCAAAGCATCTCCACCTTCCCATCATCTTTTATTTTTCAAGTCAATCCCTGTTTTCCCTCAATCTCTGTTGACATCATTTGACCGTCTCCAAGCAATAATTATAGTGCATATCGACTCTCTAGCATTTATTTGCTAGCTTCCATTCTCCCTAACACTATATAACTTTGGTTTATCAGATGATTCCATTAAGCCACTTGACATGCCAGCAACCAAGGAATCTGTAAAAGGATATGGACGTGGCATGGAATGTTGTCAAAGCTGTCTCAACTCTTCATCATTATACTATGCTTTCAGTCGTAAATGACATCCAAAACTGCCAAATTACATGGAGCTTTTTTTCTATTGGTTTAATCTCAATATAAAAGCATCCTTCTAAATTTGGGATTCTAATAAAATAAAACCTTGTTGGATTAGTTCAACTTGAATAAAGAATTAGGATTAAATCAAACCTCTATATCATTGACAATGTGATATCAGAAGCATATTAAAAAGAGAAACGCATTTTACTGATCAAAGATCTATTATAGGTCTCACGGTTGGGCTAACATCATTAACACCGGTTTTTCCTATCCATACTCGAGCACATAGCAGGTGGTTATCATTCTGAATCATTACCTGTTTCAGAAGACAATGGCTTCTTTCTTAATAGAAGATTTTGTCGGTGATGGGGTTCTGAAGGAATTGCTTTCAAAATTATTAGAAGAAGGTTGGGATGATGTCTGAAGGATTTAGAGCAGAGGAAGAACAAACAAAGACAGCAGAAACTAATCTGTCACTTGAAGTAAATTGGCTCATTTGATCATGAGCTTCATTTCATTAATTTATAGGCTTGAAAAATACAAAAGTTGTTGGCCTAACAGCATGGGTCACCATGCACAGACCCATCATTTTACCTAAACTAATCTGCTGCCAGAAAGTTTCAGCAGAAATGCCATACTAACTTGTTTCAACCACTAACACACTAACATGCTTCAGTACTAGCATGTTTCAACCACTAACACTCCTCCTTGGTATTTCTGCTGGAAACACCAAGACCTTTCCTTAATGTTTCAAACCTTGCCTTTGGTAAGGCTTTGGTCAGAATATCTGCAATCTGATCTTCTGACTTGCAATGCACCAGTTTCACTTCATTCTCAGCTTCAACTTCTCTAATAAAGTGATACTTGATCTTAATATGCTTAGTTCTTCCATGAAACACAGGGTTCTTGACCATTGCAACTGCTGACTGATTATCACAAAAAATTTCTGTTGGATCATCTTGCTTTTGACTCAAATCCAACAAAATTTTTCTTAGCCAAATTGCTTGATTAACAGCAGCTGCAGCAGCTATATACTTTGCTTCTGCTGTTGATTGAGCCACTGTTCCTTGTTTCTTTGAATTCCAGCTGAACACATTTAATCCAATGAAAAACACATAGCCTAAAGTGCTTTTCATGTCTTCATGAGAGCCAGCCTAGTCACTGTCTGTGAATCCTACCAATCTTGAACTGTCATTCTTCTTGAACCAAATTCCAAGTTCATTGGTTCCTTTGACATATCTCAACACTCTTTTTGCAGCCTTAAAATGAAACTCACTAGGATTTTGCATGAACCTAGAGAGTAAATTTGCAGCATACATGATGTCTGGCCTGGTTGCTGTCAAATACAATAAGCAACCAACCAAGCTTCTATAAATAGAGCCATCAACTTTGTTAGCTCCATCTTTCTTAACAAGTTTCTCATTTTGAGCCAAAGGAGTGTTGACTGGTTTGCAATTTTCCATCCCAAACTTATTCAGGATTTCATTTGCATATTTTCTTTGACAAATGAAGATTCCTTGCTGGTCTTGATGAATCTCCATTCCAAGAAAATAAGACATTTCTCCCATGTCTGTCATCTCAAAAATTTCTTGCATTTGGAGCTTAAAATATTCCACAAGAGCTGATTTGCTACCTATCACCAGAAAATCATCAACATACAAAGAAACAATCAACAGATCATTACTGTTAAAAACTTTAATGTACAACGTTGCTTCACTGAGGCTTTTCTTGAATCCTAACTTCAGTAAATGATCATCAATTCTGGAATTTCACACTCTGGGAGCTTGTTTTAATCCATACAAAGCCTTCTTGAGTAGATAGGCTTTGCCTTCATGTCCCTTGGCAACAAAACCATCAGGTTGTTCAATGTATATCTCCTCCTCAAGATAACCATTCAAGAAGGTAGATTTGACATCAAGTTGGTATATTTTCCAACTTTGTTGAGTTGCTAAGGCTAATAACAGCCTTATAGTGTCCAACCTTGCAACTGGAGCAAATGTCTCTGAAAAATCAACACCAAGCTGTTGGGAGTAGCCTTTAGCTACCAATCTAGCTTTAAGTTTGTTGATGGAACCATCAGCATTCAACTTTGTTCTGAAAATCCATTTGACACCAATGATGTTTTCGTTACTTGGTTTGTCAACCAGCATCCATGTTTGATTTTTCTCAATCATTTGAATCTCCTCCTTCATAGCATTTCTCCACTCTGAAAATTTGACAGCTTCTTCAAAGCTTGCAGGTTCAAGAATGACAACATTTGATCTTTGATAAATATCTGTGAGTGGTCTGATTCCTCTCACTGGTTCATGATCAATGATTTCATTTTCAAACATATAATTTTCTTGATCTTGGAAGCTTATCATGTCTGCAGCAATTTGCTTGACTGATTTTCCCTTTGATTTTTCCCAATTCCAGGCAGCTTGCTCATTAAATCTCACATTCCTACTTACAATCATCTTGCCTGTAAGTGGATTGTAAGTCCTATAGCCTTTGGTGATGTTGCTATAGCCCAGAAAAATACATATTTATGCTTTTTGATCAAGCTTGTCCCTTTTGATATCAGGAACGAACACATAACAGATGCTGCCAAAAATTCTGAGGTGGTGCACTGATGGTTTGCTTTCATTCCAGGCTTCAAAAGGAGTGTTTCCCTTCAAAGCTTTTGTGGGTAGCTTGTTGAGCAAGTAGACAGAGGTATTGACTGCCTCTGCCCAAAATTTCTTTGGAAGATTCTTCTCAAACAGCATGCATATTGCCATCTCCATGATTGTTCTATTCTTCCTTTCACTGACTCCATTTTGTTGTGGAGTGTAAGTTGCTGTCAGTTGGTGTTCAATTCCTGCAACTTCACAAAACTCATTAAATCTGTCAGATGTATATTTAGTACCATTGTCTGACCTTATGATCTTGATTTTGCAGCCACTTTGATTCTCAATCCAAGCCTTGAACTTCCAAAATACATTTGCAACTTCAGACTTTTGTTTCATGAAGTAAATCCAACACATTCTAGTAAAGTCATCTATAAAAGCAATGAAATATCTACTGCCATTCAAGGACAAGGTTCTCATAGGACCACAAACATCAGTATGAACAAGTTGTAATCTTTCAGTTGCCCTCCATGCTTTGTTAATTGCAAATGGCAACTTACTTTGTTTTCCTAGTTGACAGACTTCACACATTCCAGCATTGACTTCAACAGTAGGCATGTTTAATACAAGATCATTTTTATGCATGAAATTCAATGCATTGTGGTTGAAATGTCCCATCCTTTTATGCCATAAAGAAGATTCATCATGTGAAGTAGCATATGCAGAGGAGTTTGCTTCATGCCAATTCAAGGAAAAACATTTTCCTTTCATATTAACAGTAAAGAGTTCATGGCCAGTGGGATCATGAATTATGCATGCCTTGTCTTTGAAGACTAAAGAGTAGTTATTTTCTAGCAATTGTCCTACACTTAACAGGTTTTGATCTATTTTGGGCACAAATAACACATCTGAAATGAGTTTGGTACCTGTTGGTGTCTCAACTGCCACTACTCCTTTTCCTTTGACTTCTATGAAATCACCATTACCTATTCTGACTTTAGAGGTGCAGGTCTTGTCTAGTTCTTCAAGGGATGAGATTTTTGACTCAAACCTCTCTGGTAAGCTGACAAGAACTTTCTCTACAATTCTTTTGTCTGATAGCTCATCACCAAGTAATCTAATCTTGTTTACTATCTTCATGAGTCTGTCATTGTACTCCTTTAAATTTTCAGACTCCTTCATCTTTAAGACTTCAAACTCTCTTCTAAGATTCAACACTTGCATTTGTCTTGTCTTGTCACTGCCTTGAAACTCTTCCTTGAGCACATCCCAAGCTTGTTTTGTAGTTTCACAAGTCATGATTCTAATGAATATGTCATCAGAAACTGAAGACTCAATACAGCTTTTAGCCTTATACCTCTTTGCCTTTTCTTCACTATAATTTTTCATTTGAGATCAAACACTTTCTAGCCAGCCTTTGTCAACCTTAAATGGCCTCAAGCAATTGCTCCTTACCTCCACCTCCTATTTTTTCTGGTGAGAACTACCAGATATGGGCTGTCAAAATGAAGACTTATTTGAGTTACTGTTGGATTTGCAGGAAGTTGTGGTGGTTCCTTCTCATTTTTCACCACTTCTCACAAATCAAAAGCATTCAAATAAGTCTTCATTTTGACAGCCCATTTTGACAGCCCATATCTGGTAGTTCTCACCAGAAAAAATAGGAGGTGGAGGTAAGGAGCAATTGCTTGAGGCCATTTAAGGTTGACAAAGACTGGCTAGAAAGTGTTTGATGGCTTTTCACTCAATTTTTGGAACTCACAGATCCTCTAAGAACTTAAAGAATGCTCTGATACCAATTGAAGGATTTAGAGCAGAGGAAGAACAAACAAAGACAGCAGAAACTAAATCTGTCACTTGAAGTAAATTGACTCATTTGATCATGAGCTTCATTTCATTAATTTATAGGCTTGAAAAATACAAAAGTTGTTGGCCTAACAGCATGGGTCACCATGCACAGACCTATCATTTTACCTAAACTAATCTGCTGCCAGAAAGTTTCAGCAAAAATGCTATACTAACTTGCTTCAACCACTAACACACTAACATGCTTCAGTACTAGCATGCTTCAACCACTAACAATGTCCCAACCTTAAGGATCATGAACTCAGAGGACATGCATGCAATCAACATGACACAACATTAAAAGGTTAGTTATTCATCCCAAGAAAAATCTTTTCAGCTCTCTAAATAAAATAAATCACTTGATATTCATATGTCCATGACCAGTATATGTTGAATATATAGCATTGTCCAAACCCAATGAGATAAGATTTGGTTCTTCTTATCAAAAGTTAAGATAAACAGCAAATCCACCCATTGTGTTTCCTTAAATTATTCTTCAGGATGCTCTGGAAATCAGTACGTAACTTCATGATCGTGCTCTGATGCAATATGGAGATAAGCTAGAGGTCTCCAGGAAATGCCTGCCTGAGCTACTTAGCTTAGGCACTGAGGATCTATCTTCACAAGTTGGCATGAAGAGGGGACACATTGCACGTTTCAAGGATAGAACCAATCCATGCACAGATCCTTTGCCCAAATCAAATGGTCTCACTGCAAGGAAATCACGACTACACCATCTAGAAATAACAGCATCTACAAGAATTTTGCATCTATCAATTCCAATAAGACGCAAAATACAGCAAAATCCTTCGCCAGGAGCAGCACAATTAATGACAGGTCGCTGGAAGAATCACTGGCTGATTTCAAGATTAAAGATGGATGTGTCTTTAAAGGGATTGTTGTTGCAGGACCAGCCGAGCCTTGAGCCTGTGGTTGGGCACAACCTCCTCCTCATGTTGACAATCTGCTCTTGAAAACATATCAATTCAGAAATTAACTCTTGAGTATAAGATTGTGATGGAGCGTTTGGTGAAATCCAAGACTCCACCAATGAAAGCTTCAAAACTCTGGCGGGATAAGCCAACTGTGCTCCTCTGCATTCGAAGATCTGGGTAACTTAGATACTTTATGTATCCTGGCATTTTTATCTATTTCTTCAACTATATATCGGATAATATTTACTGGAAACTTAGTCAATTAGGATTTTCACCAAACAATATTCTAATAATTCCAATTAAATTACATCAACACCCAGTTTCTAGGTCCTGACCACATACAGTAGTATATCATGAAGATCCCTTGTTAAAGCTAAGATGAGAACTAAATGTCTTGCATTACCAAACAATGCTAATCACTTGTAGATTTATTTGGATGCGAGGAACTCTTATTCCCTGGCCCCCAAAAGAAAATAAGAAAAGGAACTTATTTTACTGACATAGAAACTATGTTTTTGTCATCTAAACGAAGAAATTGATTGGTTTTGCTGTCTACGTCTGTTGCAAAATGATAACAGGAACATCATGTGCAGAGCAGAAGCTCACCAGCTCTATGCCAAAAAGCCAATATTTGATGCACTGGTAGTCCAAATTTTTACAGTTCTTCATGAGCATATAGAATCAGAGGTGCCTGGTATACTTTAACTCAAAATATTGCTCCAATAAACTCCTCTTTTATCTCAGATATTAATTTTCTGATGCAGGTAAAAGACTTCTGGCCCCACTATTGGGGTGGGGTTGTAATCTTTGACCGGGCTATGGGATCCTTCCAAGCTCTTTGGAGGTCGGAAATTACTTAAGGACAAGTTTCTATCAGGGTTTGTGTTCAATCCCCGAGCTATTGCAAATTATAAACATGCAAAAGCCATGGGAATAGAGCAAAACTTTAAAGGTGAAGGCGAAATTATGGGTGGGCTTTTTATAGTTGGCAATGGAGGAACTGGAGTTGCTTACCAGTTTATTGAGAGGAATTTTGGCGATTGGGCTCCTGTAGCTGAAGTTACAGAGGTCAGTGCTCGATTGCAGGTAATTACTGTTAACTCTCTAATTTCAAATTGTGCTGTTGCTAATCCAATTATCCTAACCAACTTTTCTTCAATATTATACAAAATCAACAGCAAGATCAAGGAGCTTCTAGCAAATCACCACAAAAATATGAGTAAAAGGGTTTCTCATGTTTCTTATTGCAACCAACTTTTCTTCAACATAATACAGAACCATCAGCAACATCAAGAAGCCTCTAGAAAACCACCAAAAGAATACGAGTGAAGTGTTTTCTGAAATTTCTTATCTACTTCAGATTCATCAGACAATAAACTTTCTAGCCCTGTCAGCATAAATAAAATGTTTGTAATATTCAGAGTCTTTGACATTGCTTGTATTTCCTATGTGGCTTGTATTAGTATGAAATTTAGCAGTATTATTTTTTAATCGTAAACATTATATATGTTACAAGAAATAATACACATTTGGAAATAATGAGGCTTCACTGATCGTAAAACCCTCTATGGCTTCTATTAGCAAGAAATTCAACAAATACAATTCATAATAAAAATTGAAATGAAATAATTATATATCTTTCCAAAGATCAAAAGCTTTTTGACTCTTCCTATTCTTCTCCTCCTCCATCTGCATAAAGAAAATTGATGGAATTATATTGTTTTCAACGATCAATTCTTACTAGAAATCTCCAACTAAACAAATACAATTCATAATAAAATATACAGCTAAAGGTTTGATCTCCTCAATGACAGCTTTGGACACAGAATACAGCATCACCAGAAATCTCCACACGAGCATTTTCCATCTTTAAACAAATGGAAGCGGACAGCATCTCTTACTAGTATCTCTCTCCTGGTGATCCTAGAAATATACTTAGTGGCACTATGGCAATCCCCACACACTCTAAGATTTTTAACTATCCGTATGGGAAGGCCCGGAGGAATAAATATCAACCCAAATGCAATTGCAAGCCTCTCACTATGATAATTAAGCATCTTTATCTTTTCTGATTCCTCAACATCATGAAGAACAGAACTCAGATCTGGTACATAACCCTCTTCCATCATCTTGTGATTTAATTTGTCCAGCTCAGCATATATCTGATCAGAAAATGGATTTGTCTGGTCATCTGCCGAGAAAATGTGCACTTTGCCTTTATATTTGATCCAGCTGCATCCCGGTTCCTTTCTCACTCCTTTATTTCTCATTCCCCTCCTTAATTCTGACACATTATCCCATTTCCCTTTAGCAGCATATATGCTAGAGAGTAAGATGTAACCTGCAGGATTGTGGGGCTCTAGTTCCTGAAGAGAAGCGGCTGCCCATTTCCCAATTTCCAAGTTACCATGCAGTCTACATGAGCTAAGTAAGGTAGACCAACCAATTGCGTCAGGTGGGAAAGGCATTTTGTTTATAAAACATTTTGCTTCTTCTAACCTTCCAGCTCGGCTAAGAAGGTCAATCATGCAAGTATAGTGATCAACAACTGGCATGATTCTATGTTCCTTTACCATTGAATCAAAATACTGATACCCTTTTTCCACTAGTCCTGCCCTACTGCAAGCTGATAGAACACCAACAAAAGTAACTCCATCAGGTTTTAGACCATGAGCTAACATTCTTTGAAACAAATCAATTGTTTCATAGGCTTTCCCAAACTGAGCATACCCTGACAGCATCGCAGTCCAAGAAACTTCATCCCTTAAATTCATCCCATTGAACAACTTATCAGCATCTTCTATGCTTCCACATTTTCCATATAAAGTAACAAGTGCATTAGAAACTGTTACGAAAGAAAATAAGCCAGAAACTATTGCTTGGCCATGTAATTGAGCGCCCTCTTCTAAGCTTGACAGGTTTGCACATGAGCTAATTATACTTCCTAGACTATAATCATCAGGATTAATCCCATTTCTGTGCATATCACAGAAGATTCTAATAGCTTCCTCACTGTACCCATTCTGGCCATAACCCACTAGCATTGCAGTCCAGGACACAACATTCTTGTGGGTCATCCTCTTGAAAACTGCCTCTGCAGATGTTATGCTTTTGCACTTGCAATACATGTCAACAAGTGCACTTCCAACAAAGACATTATCCTTATGATTAGTTCTAATTACAAAAGCATGAACCTGCTTGCCTTCTTCCAGGGCAATTAGACACCCACAAGCAGTCAACATGCTTCCAAAGGTAAACTGATCCATAGCTAAACCTTCTATCCTCATCTCTTTAAATAAATCAATAGCCTCTCTATACAAACCATTCTGAGTCAATCCCGTGATCATAGTTGTCCAAGAAATTGAATCTTTTTCCCGCATACTATGAAACAACCACCTGGAATCCTCCACCATGCCACACCTCAAAAGTCCTGCAATCATTGTATTATACATTACCACATTTCTCTTTGGCGTTTCATCAAAAACTCGTTTTGCATCATAAACCAACCCTGCTTTTGAATACATATCGATCAAAGGAGAAACCACAAACACATAAGATCCAAACCCAAATTTCACAATTTGACCATGAATCTGCCTACCCAAATCAACACACCCTTGACTAGACGAACATATAAGCATAGTAGACAACGTAATCCGATTCAAATTAGCCACCCCATCCCTCAACATAGAATTATAACCTTTCACTGCCTCAGTTACCAAACCACGAGAAGCATACCCAGAAATAAGGGAATTCCAAGAAACCCCATCGCGTTTAGGCATGTGGTTAAAGATATAATTCATTTCTGAAAGATTCCCAGATTTCGAATAAGTGAAAAGAATAGTGTTCCACGAAAAGAGATTTGGTCGGGGAATTTTGTTGAACACGTAGCGTGCATAGGTTAAATCGCCTAGTTTGCTGTATGCGTTAACCAGGTTGTTTAATAAGAATGTTTCCGGGTCCTTAATGGTTTTCAGAATATGGCAATGGATTTTCTTTGCTTGGATTTGGTTACGGGTTTCCGTGCAAATTTTTAGTAACGAACGGTAATAGTTGGAGTTCGAAGACATGTTTTGTTTTCTGCTGAAAACGATTAGTTGGCGGGAAGGGGCTTTAGGGTTTGTTTGGTTTAAAAACCTATTACAAAGGTGGTCTTGATTCTTGACACTCAACTATATTATATTACTGCTTATTTTTTATTTCATTTCAAGATCAAGATATATTGCAGAATTTATATTAAATTTATAAATTATCAATTAAAAATTACTGACAATAAAAATTAAATTTAAATCTTATCCTTAATTAAAAATAATTATTTTAGATGATTAAAAAAATGTAAAAGAGTAAATATTTATTTTTTTAAGAGATGATGTTTGAATTAATAGTAATTTTTAGAATTATATGATTTTTAGTTTCAAAGATATTTATGGAAAAACAGTAACAAATAAAAAAAAAAAGCAAAATAACTGTTGGTGGGCTTGACTGCCAGAAAATTTATTCCATTGTGCTATTATCACCCATTATAAAATAGAATCATATAATAGATTTGCATATCATATCTTGGGAGGATCAGAATTCTATGTGATACTAAATGTGATTTAAAGCAGACGAGACAGGTAAAAGATAAGAGACTCCCATTGTTTATTTGACAACTTTCCATGATTTCTTGTCCCCCTGCACTCCAAGAGGATTGCTCTGAAGTGTTACAGATTTCTATGAAAGAAATCAATCTTCTAATAAATTCCAATGTCTAACTTGTTCCTGCATTGATGTCACGGTGAGGATGAACAGTTTGAATAATCAACAAAAGGGGTGGGGGTGACAGTCCCACTGAGGTAGTGAAAGCAGATAAAATTTTAAACAATTCCCTTTCTTGATAAAAAGAGAAGCCAAAAATGGAGAGGGTGGAAGAACATTATACCCTTAAAACATGACAAACAAATGCAACTTACATCTATGAACAGAACAAAATATTTTCTCACTGCCATCTGTAAATTACAGGAGAGATCATCTAATACTACTAGATAAAGCATAAACTCCTATATCACAAGAACTTTCCATCATCAATCTATACATTCTAATCCACCTTTCCTCTGACTGGGACAGTAATATAATTCCCATGATCAAAGGAGTTCTATTTCCCTCTATATATCTAATGCATCAAACAAGAGGATGAAATCACTGCCCCACCATACAGTTAAGGAACATAGAGCCTTTAGGACCTCAGCTTTCTTCAAATGTGGCATATATTCCCAGCTAGAAAACCAGGCCAATAACATCTTCAATTATCCAATACCTGGGTAGGAAAATGGTGACAGCATATTTTGTGCTTAAATCTTTCCAAGAGTATTTAGCATGTCCTTGGCTACCTTCAGGAATGCAGTACAAATATAGCAAGTAAAAGGCCATAATGAGCTGCCTAGCATAGAGCTATAGACCCTTACGAGAAGGATCAAAGTTCTGGTTTCATATGACCTGATGGTAGAGACCCTGCAAAAGCATTGGATAATTTTAGTCGGATCTGAGAACATTTGGCCTATGACACAGGCCACAGGGCACTAATAAAAGGGAGGTAATACCATTTACTTCGAGGCTGTCAGAAGGAGCACAGGTTCCATAGTTCATCTGGACAACATTGTGGAGCTCATCCTCCCATGCATTTGATAGCTACAACCAAAATGTATTGAGACGAAAGGTAAATTTGTAATCCTCAGACTCATGAAGTTAAGCAGATCAAACATTTTACATCATTCACATCATGCTTTAAAGCCAAGTTCATTTGCACAATAATTTTGCTTCAGCCCGTTAATTTTTTTTTTCACATTGGTTACACTTTAAAAAGATATTAAAAGAATAAAAAGACGTTTAAGGCTCGAATTCATGAAAGGGAAAGGTTTCACAAAGGTTGCCGATAAATTAACCATTTGATGCTACAAACACCTACACACATACTTAAAATGTGAACCACAAAAATTGAAGAAAAGGAAAACCTGATTAGGCTCCTTGAATCCTCCACTCATCAGTGTGAAGTGGGAGCTGAGAGTTCTATGAATAACACCAGCATTATTCCCCATGACAGGAAGAGTACCTTGAACAAGTCCAGGTTGAGACGGATGTAATGGAGGATAACCCACAGACAAATCTGGAGAAAACCCCAGAGCTGAGGAAGGACCAGCTCGTGATTGGATAATCTGTATATTGATAAAGTATTTTGATGGATTAGATGAGACACACAGACATAAGTGATTGCTAAACCTAGGCTGATGAACTTACATCTTTTGCCAGAAGCCCTTCTATATTAAAATCCAGCCTTGGGTTCACTGTCGCAAGTTTCATTGATAGAAACTGCATAAAGGATGAGAATAAAGTGACATTAAAACTTGTAAAGGTCAGCAGATGATTATGTCTCTACAGAATATGCAAATCAGTGAAAATTATTGCATGAAAATTGCATAGATGAGTTGTAGAGAATCAAACTGTGAGTTTATCCATCAATTATCTGTTTCAAAAGGCAAGGTCATCATGATTAATACCATATAAGCCAAGAGGTTGTAACAACACATACTGCATCAATCTAGAACAAGATTCACAAGTTACTTGACTTTTTAGTTTGTGTATTTATTAGATAATTTCGATAAGATTGAGGAGTACACCATTCTGCCATCACCAATTACACTAGATTGCAAGTGAACCACTGGATTGGAAAAGGGTAAGTAGTGAATTATGCCGCAATACCTCAACCTGCCGCTGAAGTGACTGCACATAGTTAATGATTTCATCTAGCATCACTGCCTTGCCTGTAACCTGCAAGAACCAATAAACCCTCACAAAGTGAGCCACTCTAGCTGTTCTAAATACTTATGAGAAGTTAATTTGATGGTACTCCAAGCTACAGCATCAAAGAAAACACACCTTGCTGCAACCAGGTACAAGGTCCTGAAGAAATTTCATCCTTTCACTGATCTTTTCTCTTCTTACCTGAAGTTATAACCAATTAACTCCAATCAGATTATCTAAATACTGCTAAATTTCAAAAAGTTTTCCATGTAAAATTTACCCTTTCTGCAAGACTATGGCTGTTTGTTGCCTGCCCTCTTCGGGCTCTGACATGGATGTATTCTTCTTTTGGTGGATCAGCAGCTTGAGACCCTCGTTTCCCCTGTTTTCCTGTAGTCTTATTGGTTGTTGTAGTTAGGTTCTGATCTCCCTTCTGTTGATTTTCAGCACTATCCTTTGCTGCCTCAATAGGTGATTGGCCTTCCTTAGCTTGATTAAGCTCAGCACCCTGCCATAAACTTAGCAATCAAAACTTAGACCATAAACAAAAAATTTATAATGGATCAGGGAAAAAATTGGCAATCATTTTTTTTTTTTTACCTGTACACTCCTTTTTCTTTTCTTCGAACTAAGACCCTTAGCTGAAGGTTCACCACCTATACCATCCAATGCAGATGGCTCATCTTGACCACCAGCATCACCACTAAACTCAGTCTCATCAGATTCGTTACCAGAGCCACCAGTTCCTTGTTTTGCTTCTTCATTAGATGGCACAAGACTTTCACTTTTCCTTTCATTCTTGAGTGGGCTTTCCTGAGTAGCCCTATTTTCAACTTGCAAACAAGCTTCTCTAGAAGCTTCAGTGGCATTCGACTTAGTTTTCTGAGATTCCACACCAGATACTGATTTCATCCCACAGATTGCAAAAATGTCTTGTGGTCCTTGCATCAAGGCCACACCCCTAGTATACAGACCCATGGATTCAGGAATACCAAAAGGGTTCACCATATCACTAAAATTTCCCCCATTAAAGCTCGAGAACCTAGCAGCACGCTCAATGAAAGCTGAATCAGCAGGCAACTGAGATAGGCTCTGTGGTAGAATCCCAGTTGCATTCGGTAAAAAGATACCCCCTTTCATCATTGAACTTGCTGCACCAAATGGTCTATCAATGCTACTTCTCAGAGAGGTAGGACCACCTTTTCCAATTCCCGTTACATTTGAAGAGCTTGCACAATTTTGTAGCTTAATTTCACTAAATCCCAAGTTTTGTGAATTAGAGGGGTGCTCCCAAAGGTTAGAAGCAAATGAATCTACCACTGAAGCAGAGGCACATGAAGAACCAATAGCCAAGGGATTATCACTAGGAACTAAACTCATAGGAGTACTTGTGAGATTGGCACCAATGAACTGCCAATCTGATGACATACCAGGTGCCTGGTATTTATCCTTTTCACCTATATCCATCCCTCTTCAACAAGAATAGCAGAAGTAACTCAGCTATGCCTTTCTCCAAAATTATGTTTGATCACCCAGCCAACAGTTCAGAGTCAGGCTGATGAACAGAAACTAAGCCTCAAAAATTTGACCACTACCTAAAAATAACCTTAATTTCTCTAAGATGATCAACCAAAGATCAAAGGCCACAAAAGAGAAAGGTAGAAAAGAACAACAACAAACAAATCACGTGTGAAAATTATCTAATTCTTTGACATATATTAAACACAATAATTTTATGAACAAGCTTCAAGCTAAGTCCACAAGGTGTTTGAAAACTTAAAATATAAGGAAGTTATAGTCTTAAAAAGCTCAAATTCAGCCAACCCAAAAGAAAACCATAGAAACTGCTCAGAAGAAGTATCAAAGAAAACCCCACTTCAATTAATGAACCCCCAAAAACATAACTGAAATGAAGTAGAAAAGATCCCCACAAGCTGAAACAGGAACCATTTCCAAAGCAACAACTGAAAATTGGAAGTACCCCAAATTGCACAAAGGAAACAGCCTTCTTCAAGACAAAAAAGACAGAGCAGAACAGAACAGAAAAAGAAAGTTCAAAGAAGAGCTGTAAAAAAATTAAAAGTCTACTAGAAACAGTCAATTAATCTAAAAAAAGAACATTGATTTCAGTACAATAAATAAAGCCACCGTTCTCATTCAAAACCCCAGTCAGAGTTTTGGCAGAGAAAACCCAGAAAGAGAGAGAAACTCAACAAAAAGTAGGAAGAGAAAGATACCCATTTTCAGATTCTGTGCTTACTTTTTTGTATTCTCTCTGCTCTCTCATTCAAGACCTTTTCTTTTTTTTTTTTTTTAATTTCAAACACTCCCACGCACACAAATATTAAAGCTTTTATTGAATTCGAGCTAGCTGTGTGTTTGCCAGCAACAACAACAACAGAGCAACTCTGCCACAAAAGAGTCAATAAAACCAAAGAAAAAAAGAAATAAAGGAGAGTTTTATTACTTTGAGTGAGAGAAAAAGAAATGGGTATTTGTCTATTTGGAAGAAGTGTCAATTAAAGAGCGGATTAATGGCCAAGGTCCTGCATTTTATACCCACGCTTGCATCAAAAAGAGAGCTCATGATCATTAACCACCGCCACTGGTAGTGTTAAAATATTACAAAACACCCTCTCCTCTCTTCTCTTCATTCAAACTTCGAAACTTTGTTCTATTCTATGTGGGAGCATTTTTTTTTAACTTTAAATTACTTTGATTTTTAAAGTTTGTTTTAGTGTTTTTAATTGTATATTTTAGTTATAATTAATTATACGTAGCAACTGTCACTGCCAACTCATATTAGATCTTTTTATTTACTATAAGTAGGGTATTGTTCTGTTTAACTTATTGTATTGTCCTTTTGATTAAAAAAACCCTTGGAGGAGAGCTTCAAGATCTTTAATGGGGTTTGTTTGGTCAAGAAGCTAAAATCGCCCATTTCACAAATCACACTTTATCTTATTTTTTGGGTTATTAGTAGATCTGTTGGTCACGTGGATTCCATTCCGATGGAATTTTGGATAAAATTTTTTAAATTTTAGATCTTTTCAGTTTAATTTGATTTATATATTTAATTAATTTTAATTTTAAAACATATTTTAATATATTTTTAAATTCAATATTTTTGGACCCACCTATCAAATCTTAGAAATGAGATTTAAAAAGTCAATTACATATGATTTAATCCGACTGATGAACATAACTATTTATTAATTACTCTAATTAGTATTCAAATTTAAATACCCAACTAGGTCATGCGGTGGCCATTATTATTAATTTTCATTGACATGATGGAAAAGATATGGGGCATGGTATCTTTTTTTTTTTTTTTAACAAAAAAATCATAATCTCAAAACAAAAAATGAATTTTAAGTATTAAAATTTAATTTTTAAATTTATTGAATAATATTGTAAAAAATAATTATATGTATTAATTAAATTAATTTTTTTTATTTTTTATAATTTGACTATCTTATCCATCTTGTGCTATTTCCTTGTGAAAACTTAGAAAAAAAAAGGGAAAAAAAATAGTATTTCACTTTAGTTATATCATTTTCTTTTACATAAAAATTTTAGTAATAAATGGGTTGCTTAATTCTCAGACTAAGATAATATATGCTGTACATTAAAGAATAATCATATATTCAAAATTAACATCAATTAAGGTTCACAAGTGTTTGAACTCAAATTAGGACTTCACTCAGCACAACAGGACAATGCTATTAGAAATCTCTCTCATTATGCCAAACAACACCTAATTTTTATTGAGATTGACAAAATCTTAAAATTCAAAAATCCTTAATGCATTAAATCAATACAATAAAATATATTTTTAAAATCATCTAACTTGAATTGATTTATACTTGTTAAAGTAATATTTACACATTATTGGACCTTAAAATTTTTGTTCTTCCCCATTTTTAGGTCAAAAAGACCATACTGTAAGATTCAATTTCGTGGTTGTGCAAAAGCAAAAGATAAATATATATGAATAGGAAAATTTTTCTGGTTAAGTCTTCCAGTAATTGTCCTGAACTGAATCTTCTAATTTCTGCAGTTTTCTCTTATTGCAGAATCCCCCTACATAAATTAATCAATTCTAATGGCTTATATCAGCTTTAGCAACATTCTCAGAGAGTTGACCAACATATTTGAACACTTATTTTCTTTCCTCCATTACCAAGGGCTTACCTGGAGGAGGTCAGGTCATGGTCATCCACGAACAAAAAAAAAAAATCTAAAAAAGATAGTGTTTTTCCTGTAAACTGCGTGGCAAATATTTTATACTACCTTAGACTATATTGATGGACTGTCCCCTCTCTCTATTTCTCTCATGTCATTATTACGTGGCCTTGGGACTTACAATTCTCAAGGACCTAAGCTTTAGAATAATGGAATCTCTCTCTCACTTTTGCTGTCTGTAACTAAAACCTTAATTTTTATTTAATTATCTTTAATTTAGTGATTAAAAGCGAATATTATAGATCTGATTTTAAATTAAATTTTTTTATTTGTACTAAAATTTTGTACTTTAATATAACAAAAAAAAATCTTTATTTAATCCTAAAGCTCCATCAAATTGCCATGTAAGAGGTGAAAATGATTTGTATTGTTTTGGGTTGTGTTTTTCTAGGTATATATGTTGGATAAGAAAAAAACAAAGTAAGGTTTCATCATGTATAGTTTTTTCTGAATTCGAGAAGCCAAGAACTTGGCAAATGGGTTATTGCTAATAGTACTTTTGTAAGAGGGATGGCTATATATATAATCAAATTAATATTAAATTTGAAATTTAAACATGTTTGGTTTATTCTATTGTTTTTAAAAGATGATATTCAATAAATTTAAAATTTAAAATTTAATATTTATAATTTTTTTAATTTTAAATTATGATTTTTTTATAATAAAAATAAATTAATAAAAATAAAAATTTTAAAATATTATAAGCAAGTAAGAGTTGGGTCGTGGTTGGCTCTTTCTTTTGGGAAAAGGCAAAACCAAGCAAACAAAATCCCATCCAAAGCAACATGGGATGGGAGTGGGGATTCGAGATCTCTTAAACAGAGTTTTAGGATTCTTTAACATGATTACTCTCTCCACCTTTCTTTTATAGATTGATGGTATGGAGATGTTAATTAGAAAGTAGTCCTTGGTCTTGAGCTTTAATCGATTAAAACAAAGCACGTTTCAAACTTTACATTATGCCAATCTATATTATCTTTTACTTGCACATTATTTAAAATTAATCTTAAAATGGTATTAGTGTTTTACCAAAGCATACATACATGTTAGCAAAAAAAAATAATGTTGAACTGTTCATAATTTTTTTCTCATGTTTTGCATACTTTTAATATCGAATTATCTTATCTAATGAGATGATAACAATTAGGTTATGTCTTTTCCTCGATATTTTTTTTTAGTTCGTGATTACATAGTATTGATCTCTTTGTTTGCACAATGACAATTTTTTTTATCATGTGGTAATTATATTTTATGATTCAATTTTTAAAGATTTAATAAATAAAATGACATACATGATATGGTGAAAAAATTTTTTCATCACACATTCAAATTAACTCTAGGCTTTGTTACAATTTATGTTTTTCTCTATTATGTATCAAAACAATTTTCAAAATAATGAAGGGGTAGTATCCATGTATTGTATTTATTTCAAATGTATAAAGTAGTTTAGACTGTATATTTAATGAAGCTTTAGATGGCACAACTCATTGGTTTGACTTAGATAAGTGAAAGGGGTCAGGCTTTCCATTATACGATATAATGTATATAAACTAAAGCTAGTGTGCTGAACAGAGCACATTTATGCTATGACTTTGAGATGCAAAGAACTTGAATGGTAGAGAAGTGAATGTCAGTTGGAGTCTGAAGAATGAAATGATAAAATCTTCCCTTTAAGTTTTTTTTTATGAATTTCATGCTAGCATCATTGCATCGCACGATGAGATGTTGTTGGATGATAGCTTTCAAACTTTTTGATAGTAACTTTTTGCTCTACTTTTTTTTTCCCCTTCCTAAATTTTCCTAGGTTTCACCTTTCCTCGTTAGAAGATGCCCACTCGAAAATGTTAGGAACTTTCCCATACCTTTATATATATATTTTCCCTTTTTTTAATTTCTTTTTATAAAGAAAATCATAACGATTTAAACTTTAAATTTATTGAATACATGTCATTTCTTGAAAAGAATTGGATGAATGAATTAAAATAATTTTTTTTTCACTCTTTCAATACGAAAGCTAATGTAAGGCATATGGGACCCTTTTCCTTGGTGGAAGGTTTCATTGTGATGAAAAAATTGTACCTGCTATTTCAACTTGTTGTCTCCCCCAAGCACGACGTCTGTCCCTCCAAAAATATCTTTAGAGTTTAGAGGTTGAGATATTGGGAATGCTCCTAAGCTACGAACCTCTTACATCAGTATATGCACCCATAAATTTGTGAAAATTGAGTCATTTGTCAAATGCGATATGGCCCGTTTGCTGAATTCACCTCTTTCCACACTTTGATCCCTTTTAACATTTAGATTATAAATTTCGAAATTTTCATCGATAATACAAAATTTTTTTTTAGTGGCTCTGATAATTTTTCATGATCACATGTTAAAGTTAATGTGCTTAAAATAAGTTTAGCCTATAAAAAGATTAATTAAAAAAAGTTTAAATTTGAATCTTAATCATAACCTAAAAAAAATAAGAGTGATTGATCCCTAATTAAAAGGATACTCTGCTTGATTTCCTAATATAATTGCCCCTTAACTCTTCCTATGAAAAGAAAATTCTACCTCTATCGATCAAAATATGGTTCCCCTATTTTTGGGTATGCAAATGGAAGCATCAAATCTTATAATTATGCAATAATAGAAATATCCTTATTGCATATATATTTCACAAATATAAAACTTCAAAATTCTAAATATTTTGATAATAATTTTCCCAATTTTGATAACTTCATAAAGAGAATTAAGTGTGCTAGAGCTTCTAATAATAATAAAAAATTATATGGCAAATTATTTTATAGAGAAAAATCCAAGTTCCTTTGGAAATACATGATTCATCTTTAACTTGGGGTCTAAATTTCAAATTATGTCAACTTTTAACTTGAAAAAGAAACCCTCTATCAAAAAAAAAAAAACAAGAGAACAGTACTAAAAACTTTAAACAAAGCATATCCCTGTTTTGATTTTTTTTTCTTTTTTCGGTCTCACTCAATGTAAAAAGCTGCCGACTTTTTTTTATCTTTGATGTTACAAAGAAAAGGAATTGGGTTTTCAAATCTAAAATATTTATTCAAATTTCCAATCCATGAATAGAAAGAAAGAGACTTGAGAACTTGTCTGGTTTTCTTTTCACCCCTATACTGTACGTACGTTATTGATGGGCACATCACACTTTCTCTATCCTTTTGACATACAATTATAATGTCGTGGTGACTTACTGACTTTTATGATTTAAAAGAGATAAAGTCACTACCTCATCCAAGGAAAGGGACTGAACCCAAAAATACAAATACTTTTTTCCAACGCCTCTCACCCATTGTTGGATATTTTGCTGATTATCTAGCTCATATAAAAAATGGGGCCCTTCTACTATGTTTTTTATGGACCATTTTTTCACCAATTTAACAATCTTTTTGAACTTACCATCCAAAGGTTGGCTGGCTCAATCTGTAAGTCATTTCTTGCCAACGACTATGTAATCTATTAATATAGCATTGGATTTGTAATTTCAGTGATCTGAATTTAATATTTGATAATCTCAATTAGTCAAATCTTAGATTTAGATCTTGTCGATAATTTTTATTGTTACTATTCTCAAATTATGTTAGAAAAAAAAAAAAAAACTTTTTAACTTGGTTTCTAGAAAGTAAACTGTTACCAAGTTTTGGTTTCAATCACTATGTTGCCATTTTGTCCAAAGAAAGCTTGTATAACCTAATCATGTATGAAAATTAGTCCAATGAAATGTACAAAGGTTTTCTTCTCCAAAACCTGTCAACTTCATAGGATTTTACAAAGAATCTTCATGTATTATTGATGGATGGTGATGTTCTTAGACTCTTCTATTTGAGTATGCTACTCATTTTGTAAAATTATGAAACTAAAATTATTCATTTTTTTTCCTTAACATCTCATAAAATATTTAAATTAATCAATCAAAAAGTCATGGATTCAAAAAATTTTGATTCTCTTAATATAAAAATATAATCAAGAGGAGCCATACCACTTACATTGCATTTGATTTCTATGAGATCCCACAAATTTAGGGACAATTGATAGCCTTTAGAACATTTTAGTATTTTGAAAAACAACCTTTAAATACTTGATTTAGGTTGTACGTCTTGAAATTAATCATTCTCAAACCTAATTATCTTATGGTACGAGTTTTTTTTTTTTTTTTTAATGAAAATGAGTAGATAAGAGAATTGCAAGCTACAAAGAGAAGCGAAAAACTTGACTTCGAACCTTCCTTGGAGTCTTGATGGTTAGATACAGATAAAGTCTTGCTTTGAGTTGAAAGGTTCAAAAGGCTAAGAGAAGATTCCCGGTTTAGGTTTTATTAAAATATAGTGGTATTTAAAACACATCTCTTTTGTCAACAATCGTGTATTCTATTCTATTGATAGAATACCACAATCTTGTTCCAATTATTAAAATTCAAAACGCAAAAAAATCAAACTAGTAAATAGAATGGAAGGTGCCATGAACCGACACAAAATATCATTCACAAATTTGGCAATGTACTTTGATGAGTGAAATGTAATTTAAGAAAGCAAAATGGACCTAACCAAGTGCCATGCAGGCACAAAGATAGACAAGTTAGTTAAATATCGAGTCTAAATTCTAAAATGGTAGCATGTTTTGGGAGAAAGGTCTTTAAAGCCTTTAGTAGTTAAACGCACTGTCTTTCTTATTAAAGTAACAATGGATAAAAATAGCTTAGTTGTATACTTGGACATTTTGATGGTAAATGGTTCAAAGAAATATTCTAGGGTTTTGAATGCATGTGTTTTGTGGTGGTTTTAGTGTTGTTTTTGGCATTGTAAATTTGGTTTGGCATATAGAAAGTTTCTTGGCAATGGTTATAAATATATATTGAATCACAAGTCAAATATTATATAATATAATTGGCCTCAAATTAATGCCTCATTTTTCATAATTTAACAATTTTCTACTTCAATGAGGCAAAGTCTAATCAATAGATTAAAAGTTCTTAAATTTTAAGAAAATGTGACTAAGAAAATATATTTTATAAAATAGTGATATATATGAATTCAAACTAGTGAATCATGTGCTAATAACCGTGTAATTTGCTGCTAGAGTGCTTGAATTTTAATTTTGAATAATTCAAAATCGATTATTAAAAAAAAAGGATTAATAATTCATATGATGCCAATTAAATAAATGAGTAATATTAGAAATCTGAGAGTTTTTTTTTTAAATAAAAGAAATTTTCTTGAAACTATTTTTGTCTAATTAAACATCTAAAATTTTAAAACTCATAATATATATATATTTAAATTTACTCATTAACAATAACTAATAAGGTTACATTACATCATGATAGCATGTAATCAATTATTACTACATAAAATCAATATTCATATATGTTTTATATCAAATATGAATCTCAATGAAATATATTAATGTTTCCTAAATGTTTTCACAAAGACAAAAATAAAATGAAGAAATTGCAGGGGAACGTTCAAACTTTAAACTATAGACATTTGAATTGAACTAATTACAAATATAAGATTGAAACGAAAAAGGATCAGTGTGCAACCAAATCAACCAAACAGAACCATACAAATCTTGACATAGGCCTTTGAGGACCGAGCCCTTAATACAAAGTTTGCTAGGACCACAACATGCTATAAATAGCCCCAAACAAATATTTTGTTAGCATGGGTTAGGTGACCAATTTAATGTATGGCGGTCCAATTTTTTTAACTGCCTTGGGCCACGGAATCAAATTGTGAGAATTTGTGAGAATTATGTAAATATTTAATTTATATTTTTAGTTTTTTTATGAGATAAAGTTGTGATATTTTAAAATTAAAATTGACAACACTTGCAAATTGGGACAGAGACTAATAATTTAACCTCTTTAAGATAAAAACTTTCTAGTAAATAAAAATAAATTCAAAACAATTGATAAGTACAATTTAGGTTTCCCGATTTTAGTTTATCAAGTTTTAGGTTAATTTTAATACTTTGTCAGCCTAAGTAGCTTTGTTTTTTTTTTTTTTCTTATTTATTAAATTATACGTAAAAATGGATATTAAATTTTGTTCCTATCATGTCGTTAAGACTAAAACTTAAAGCTTTCAAAATTTTAAGAATTTCTAATAATCGCAACATTATTTAAAGATGTTCATTTTATGACGTCAAAATGTTAGTGAAAATTAAATCGATCGTATTTAGCATAATCTTCATACTTAGCTTAAGTTTTTCTCAATTTTCTAATATCAAATTAATGGTACTATGAATTTAAATTTTAATTGAATTGATTTATACAATTAATTTTAAAATTTAATATTCAATAAATTTTAAATCAAAATTAATATTTATAATCTCTTTACTCATCCTCGAAGTATATTTTTTTATAAGAAAAAATTACCTACTGTAAAAATTGTAAAACTTGTTCCTTGTATACAAAAAAGCCCAAGTACATTAGGACAAGCAAATAGGCTTAAAATCCTATGCAATCCGAATCTAATGGCACAATAATTTACTTTTAGTTCCCGAAACAGATATTTTGTAAATTTGATGGCTTACTAGTACAACTTCTTTTGGTAGGCCATGTGATAACTTTTACCTTGTTTTTTAGCATCTCAATAATTCAACGTAGGACCCTTAGGTGGTTGCTAACATGCGCGCTCCCATCATTCCTTCCGCGCCTATACCAACGCCCACCGTCAATTACATTGACTAGCTAATGCACACCTGTGGCTCATTTTAGACTCAATCGTTTAACAGACAGATCAAACAACATCAACGGTATTATGAAATGAGAGCTAGTTAAAGGGTAATGAAAATTCTTCCTTGGCTGATCCATTTTCCTTCCCATGAATTAACAAAAACACATCAAGGTTTTGCTCTCAGATACCTGTTTTTCATCTCATTGCTTATGTTCCTTGCAAAAAATTCTTGTTCTGAACTAAACACTGCATAGTACTTCAGCTTTTCTTTTTTTTTTTTTCTTTTCTTGTCTGCTATATATGTTGTTTATGCATATTCATTTATTGTTTCATTATTGTGGGAAAATATGACAGTTTGGTCACCATAAATTCTAGTTGGGATTAATGGGAGAGAATCATAGCTGGTGTTGGTTTGGTTTCCTTTAATGACTGCTAAATGCTTAATCCTTTTGACTTTAGGATGTTAACTTTTCATCTCATGCTTGTGGAGGTATTAATGAAGAACTGAAGATTGGGTTGAGTTTTATAAAGCTTTATTGGCTTTTCATCTGGATCTTATTGTAGAATTTAAGTGTCAAGTCTTTGTCAAAAATGAATGTTCCATTATTGTAACCGATGGAGATCACTAAGCTTTTGGAATGCATCAAGATTGGGGAAACTTTCGAGTTTCAAGAGGGGTTGGCTAATAAATATGACTGATTTTATTGCATCATGGTTAATTTGTCATTTTCAATTTGCTTTCTCAACTTAAAAAGATGAGAAACCTGAGTGAATAATAGTAGTGTGCATAGATGAGTTCTCTGTAGCTGAATTTTACTGCTTAATGGTTAGATAGAACCCAAATTTGTGGCTGAGCACTACTTTAAGACAATGAGATTTAGTTGTTGTCGGTCTGAAAGAACATTTGATGTTAGGGTTATCTGGGTCATGTTTGTTGAGTAGTTAATAAACCCAACAAAAAAAAAAAAAAATTCAAATGCTTAAACTCAATTATATGGCTTTGCACAATGGTAGCCTAACCTATTTAATTGGGGACAACAACAATGACTAGTTCTCAATCAGTGCAAATCCCACCCACATTTTGTTCTTCATTGATGTGAGACAGTAAGTTTTATGGTACTAATTTTTTTTTCTTTCAGTGAATTCTTGCGACACATTGTTGCTTTCATGATTTTATATGAGCTAAAAACTGTAGTTAAAGCTAAATGATCTGTATGGCTAAATGTTGGGAGACATTTATGCATAGTACTTTCTGTTTCTCTTGTAAGAATTAGTGGTTGCAAAATTTAAACTTGTAGCAGTATATTCGAACAATAATACTGACTTTTGCCTTTTCTTTTTTCCTCCCTTCCTCGGATAGCTAAACAAGAATTGAGCCATGGAAATGAATGACGTTAATGTTGATGATAAATATATGAATATGGGCAATCCTGAGTCAAATACAGTTCATTTACACGTAGAGGCCTCATCAAGTGGAGAGGGCATCGAAGAAATGCTGAATACCATTTTGGATAGAGTTGACTTGGACTTAGTATGTTCTAATGAGAAATTGGTAAATTTGCATGTACTTCTGATGCTCCTTTTGGGTTGGGACAATGGTCCTGAAGCGATGGTCTTTGGGAATAATGATATTTCAGGTCAGTTCATTGAGAAGGCATTGGTATTTGACCTTTTATGTGGAATTTTAGATTCTGAGTTGAGGGAAGTGGAAACTTTCTTGGAAACCATTCAAGCGAAGATTGTTGATGCCGGTCATAAAATATCTTCATGCAGACCTTTGGGGGCACTATTCAATAAAATGGAAAAGAAGCAGCATGATTCAGGAGAATTTCTGAAAAAGAATCAAGAGATTGTCTTGGAGGTGAAGATGCAGTCAACCAAGCTGCATATTAAGAGATGCATATTAATAGGGAACAATGACGACACCGTGGATATATCTGAGTTGTATCAGCTATCAAACATCATTGGGAAATCAAAAGTACAGACTGTTGAACAACAAAGACATATTCTAAGGATGCTTGAAAAATCACTTGCAAGGGAGCTAGATCTTGAAAGGAAATTATCAGAGTCTGGACAAAACGAAGAACAATTAAAACTGAAGCTGCATTATACTGAACAAGTTGCTCTTCGCATGGAAGAGGCAGCAGAAGTTGTTTGGGGAAGGTTTCTAGAGGCAGAAAATGCTACTGAGGTGCTCATGGGGATTTCAAAGGAACTGCTAGGTCGACTTCAGATTGTTCAATTTAACCTGAATGGTTCAATTCAACGAGAAGCTGAGCTCAAATTTAAACTCGAAGATTGCATTGAAGAGTTAAATGCCAAAGATATTGCTATAAAAAAGCTTGAGAGCAGCAATGCAGAACATGCTGCAAAAGCTTCTGAAGTATTCACTTTGAAGAAGAAGGTGAAATTACTGGAGGAACAGCTAAAAGAATCTGAGCTACAGCTGAAGAAAGCAAATGCTTCCAATGAAACAAGTCAAGAGCATCTTCATGAAATGGAAATCATTACTGATTCACTGAAAGAAAGTATGTGTGAAGCAGAAACTAGGGCTGAATGTGCAGAAGCCAAAGTTACAGAGTTAACAGATGCAAGCTTGGAACTTACGGAAGAGTTGAATTTTCTTAAAGGTAATAATGATAATAACACAAAGAAGGTGACCTCACTTGAGAAGCAGTTGAGGGAATTGGAGATTCAACTACAGCATGCAAAAGCATCTTCTGAAGCAAGTCAGGAGCAGCAAAACATGCTGTACTCTGCAATTTGGGATATGGAAACTTTAATTGAAGATCTAAAATCTAAAGTTTCAAGAACTGAAAGTAAGACTGAGAGTGTTGAGGAGCAATGCATTTTATTATCTGAATCTAACTTCGAACTTAATAACGAGCTAGGCATTCTAAGGCATAGAATTGAATGCTTGGAGACATCTTTAGACCAGGCTAACGCTGAAAAAAAAGCAAATGCTAAAGAAATCAATTATAGGACCAAGCTAATCACAGATATGTGTACCCAACTATCTGCAGAAAGGGAGCGCATTCAAAAGCAGGTATTAACTTTCTGTCATTGTGATAAACAAAAACAAAATATATCCTCTGCTCTTGAAATAAATTCCTATTGGTATCCCATGGAATTGAGTTGTTTATTCATTATTTCGAGTACATGTACCCTCATATTGGAGCTGGTAAAAAAATGGCTATAAGATTAATAGTTATTATGAAAAACTTGTAGATGCCAAGAAAACCTAAAAGGTTTTGCTGTTAAAGTAATAGTTCCTACTGATTCCAAAGGTCCTTAAACATAGCTACTTTGATAGGTAAGCAATTATTGAACCGCAGCTTTTCTGTATGACATGCATGAGTGACTAGTGAGTTTCATTTTAACATTTTCTTTTTCCCACTTTGTAGTTTTTTCTTGCGAAACAAAGAGATAGATAAATGATTAGTTAACTGATTTTGACATTAATCTTACAGAGCTAAAACCTTCTGCTTAATTTATTGAAAAATGTTGTTTGCAGCTATTTTCATTAATAAAGGAGAAGGAGATATTGGTGAAAAAGTTACAAAATACGTCAAAAACTGACTCTGCAGCGGTCTGCAACTCTGGAGATGATGATGGCGATGAGATATCTGTTTCCAAGACTGATTCAATTAAAGCTACTTGCACAAAAACATTCGAGAAAGCAGTTCCCTCAGCCACAGGTGTACGGGCAGGTACTATTCAGGTTTTCCGTTTTTTATTTTTGGAAAAAATTGCCACTAGTTATTTCTCCTGAGTGTTGGGTAACTGCTAGATAAGATTTCCAATCTAATTTTACCATAGCCTTCCCTTTTAAGTTTATCATTCTCAGAATTTCTGCAGATATCTGTTAATTTCATATTTTCTTTGCTTTATTCTTATTCTTATTCTTATCCACTACAATAAGAATGTAATTAATCAGGAGGAACATAGCTCATCAATATCCATTTTTGAGGCACACATTATACAACCGTACCACATATATGCAAAGCAATGTATCTAACATTCTAATGTTGTTGGCATTGGCTCTTCGTATATCAGACTCCAACTACCACTCTAACCATAAATAGTGAATGCACTTATGTGACCAAGTTGGTAGAGCGTCTTATGAGATGAAATTCATATGGTAGATTTATTTATAATTACACATCTCAACCGAATGCTCTTCTAACCCTTTGTGCCTATATTTATGATTAGCGTGAGGGTCCATTGGAAATTGATAAGGTGTGATGGATGTAAATTATGTAACATGAACCACACAATTGAATTGGAAATCAAATGGCTTTAAGTGATGGTGTTTTTCATAGCAATTCATCCTAAATGATATTGAACAAGAACATCATTCAAAATATTATACTGTGCATTGAAGATTTTGAGTTAGCTTTATGTTGAATATAATGGAATTATTATCCTTTTAAATCTCAAATAGGTCCTACTTTTTCTTTAACTGAGAATTTTGATTAGTGTGTTGAGGAACCACAACGTACCTTTGATGAACCTTTAGAGTGTATACATAACGACCATAATTCATTTGAATCATCTCTATTTTTTCTTCTGAAACAGGTGGATGAACCATCAAAAGATGCATATCTGTATATGACTGCAGTTGGGCCTTCTGGTGCTGTAACTGTTGGTGGCACCGGCACAATTTCAAGGGTAGAAGGTGCGAGAAAAGAGAAGACAGGCCACTTTAATCTGTTATATATTTTGATACCGATTCTCTTAATTTGTACTATTTTCAGCATTAACTTTATATTTCTTGAGTGAGACACCTGCCCTCTTGGGTTAGTTTTGATGGCCACTTAAATCCTGTGTTGCTGGCACACATTGTGCCCTATTATGTATATTCTTGCATTTCAGTTGATGAGTGTGCATTCATTATCATATCTTATATTCTATTTTTACTTGGACAAGTTGAAGATGATTGAAAATGGTGAACTCTAAATTATAATGTAAAATATTAATATTTAAAAATATATTTTATAATTGAATTTAAATAAAAATAATTTAGGTTGGATCCATCTTAAAAACTTTGTTCACAAGTCGGCTCAAATAGGATATGACCCATGATCAAGTTTATTTGTCATCATACAAATGATTTCAGACACACATGATTGGTTTTTCGTAAAGTTTTTGGTATTTTTTGTCTAAATTAGTTCATTTCTCGAGTAATCTGCTTCAATATTTAAATAGAAAAAAATCACCATGTGATTCGTCATTATTACACTGCATTACCAAATATAGGAGGGTGAAAATGTATATATATGGCTATATATATGCCACTTAAATATCTTGCCATATCATGAAACGTATAGAAGCTTCTACAGGAAACGTTCCAAATCCAATGTGTCAAAGACTTTACTAATTGCAGTTTCCCTTATGGACCTTATATAAGCAGTGGTGCTTTTATCAATCAGAAAGCTTCAAATTAATCTTAGGCAAACAGCAAGTACCCTTCCTTTCACCAGTTTAATTTCTCAGAATTCCAAGCCCTAAACAATATTATGGAAAAAGCTTGTTTTAATATGCAACTTCTTATCCTTTTGCTAATTGCATCATGTGAGTCCCTCTCTTACTCGCAGTCAATTAACCAATTGATAATTTGTACATTTTTTCTCTTCTACTTATGAATGCTTAATCAATGGTTCTTTGGGTTGTACAACTTGTTCATGTTCAAAACAATTGATGAAAATTAGGCGCGTAATATTAATGTTCATGTTAAATTTAATTATAATACTAAATTAAATGTAATTTTGTTTTTGCAGCAATGGCATTTTCAATGGTACAGAGAGTGAGAGGGCAGATTCCATGCACCAGTACACAAGGCTGCAAAGATATTGACTGTCGCGGGGGAAACCATATTGCGTCGATGGGCAATGCCAATGCATTTTTTTTCAAACAAAAACAAGTTGTTCCAATGACTTCGACTGCAACAAGAAGTGAAATCCTAAATGCACTGTCCATAGCTGTGTTAATGGACAGTGCGTTTGTGGTTGTGCTGCCTAAACAAAAAAAAAAAAAAAAAAAAAGGGTTGAAATTTTCTCCAATATGAAATAAAGTTTTTCATTTTTTTTCAAATCTTCGTCATTTGCTTTTGCTTGCAAATTTGAGAGAGTTGGATTATTTTTTATTTAGTTCCAATCTTCACCAGTTGAATCCTATAATAATAATAAAAAAATTTTAAACTGCTTTTTTTTCTTATAATTAAAACTTGTTATGCATTTTTATTTTATTTCTCTAAATTAAATTTATGGGGTTGATTAATCTTTGTATTATATTGTTAAATTCAACGATTGATTTGTTAAAATATTAGTCATAAGTGTAACTCAATCACTCTTCTAATTATTTTATTTCACATAATATCACCTTTTAGTTAAGTTTAAGGATCAAGACCATCGATTTCTTATTTTTTGGGCAGACATGCATCTCTAGGAGGAACGTGTGAAAAATTCGAAGCTAAAATTGGGAAAGATAGATAACAGTGTGTGTAAATGCATATTTTAAAGGTAAAGAGGTTTACTAGGATGGATAGACAAATATGAAAAGATACAAAATTGGGAGAGACAAAGGCGAAAGTATGAAAAAATTATTTTTTATTGGTGTGTTTGGAAAGATGAAAATTGAAAAAATATAAAATTTTTCCTATCCATTATTTGGTAAAATTGAAAAACCAATAAAAAGAAAAAAATTATTATTTTACCATCTTAAATTTTTGTAAATTATAATGAAAAGGAAAATTTTAAATATTATGAATAATTTGCAAATATGTAACACGTATTCACATCTCTTCCATTCTTTTTCTTTTATTTTTTCAATTTGAAATTATTTGTATTTGGAAATAAATGTGAAAAAGGTTATCTTTTATTTCCTAAGTACACTTAAAATTTATTTGTTTCTATTTTTTATTATTCTTGTCACACTTTATACCCGAAGATTTAGGACATAATAATGCCGTGTACTTATAAGATGAATATCATAAATATACAAAGTAATAGATATTAAACTAAATCAAAATTTTTAATAATCTCCAAAATAACACTTTACAAAATCTTAAATTTACAAAATTTTACCCTTTACAAGTTAATAGAATATACTAAAATTCTTACTAACAAATTTTTTAATATCAATAATGAAATACTTACTTCAAAAGCTATACCAATCTAAAGATAGATACTAATCTTGTTAATCTAAATATTTATCAAGATTAAGCTTTCCAAGATACGAACATTAAAATCTTAAAAAAAGTAAAGAAAATTAAAGGAATAAGTACGATAACTAAGCAAATAATTGACATCTCCTTAGTTGGATTAAACATGCTACAAAATATTTAAGCTAAAACAGTAACTAAATGATTCAACAATATTTTGGATAATCTTGTATTCACAAACATATTTTCAAAACCATATTCTCAAAACCAAATTTTTAGATTACAAAGTGAAATAAAATTACCATAAATTATAAATTTTATTAGTTTCTCGTAACATACTAAGATCACACTTAACTTTTGTGGCATAAGTTAGAATTACAATTTCCCTTCTAGTGCGATGGGAACAAAGTATAGTTAAAGCAATTAGATTGTTGCATAGATAATTATAATTAACTCGTTAATGAATGAGATAGAACAAAATCACAGTAACTATTTAGTGCAATGGAACATAAGTATATTACCGGTAATACGATGAAAAAATCATTATTCTTAATCGATGACATAGTTCGAAACTGGTAACTGAATCTTAAAGTATATGTTGACATGGCCAACATTAACTCCCATCGACAGGGCCAGAGCATAGCCATAGTAGGAAACAAAATAAATTATATTTTTAGATTATCCAAATATACAAAACAATATTCATAATTTTGCAAAACTTATCTAGTACAAAGCCAATTTCTTTTTTTTTTCTTTTTCATTTCAAAGTATCTTTTACAAAGCTAGATACATATAAGCATATCTGATATACTAATAAAATCATGTTCAAAGTCAAAACAAACAAATCACATATAGACATAGTTTACATGCTTAAACTTGATTTAATAAACTAAAGGGACAAAATATCATATATAACATACCAAAATCCAAATTCACATTGAGATTGATTTTCAAGGAATGAAAACTAAAAGGATATCAAGTCACTTACCTAATATACTAAATTGAAATTTAAGTAGCAAATTACATAATTCTCTTAGTGTCATAATAATTCAAGAAATATTAAAAAATTAAAATTTACCTTGAAAATATAAATTTAATAAGGTAAACCTTCCACTGGTAATTCTAAACAAATTGGATTGTATGGCAACATTCATGACTAATTGAAACTATTTCAAAGTGTTTTTGGTATATTAAAACAAATTTTTAATATAGCAAAATGCTTAAAATTGAGTAAAAATATGAAGTTGAAAATTAAAAACAGAAAAATCAATAGTAATATAAATTTGTATAAATAGTTAATTTTAATATTTAATGGTAATAATTTTTTGTATGTTTGAATCTAATTTGGTAGTCTTTTAACAAGACTAATAACATGAAATTAATACAGTAAAAATATATTAAAATAAATAAAAATTCATTAAAAATAATATAAATAAATTTATATAATTTATAACTAAAGACAACAAATATTGGTTGAAAATAAATTTTAAATAATGAAAAACAGAATTTTTTTCAATTATGAAAATTTCACATTTTTTAAACGTTTAGCTTATTTTGAGCAAAAATTTCTAACATTCCATAGTTTCTACTAACAACTGAAAGCATGAATTGAAAGTAGGAATGTAAGATTAGAATTTTGTTTCGGCAAAAATGATTTCTAGAAACCTAAGTTTTGGGGGCTAAAACTTTACAAATCATCACAAATAACCTAGATTTACTGGGTTCCAAATTCATGAAGCCTATTTTGAGACTTCGATTCTTTTAGCTTATAGATCATCTGAACAAACCAATTATACTACTAGAAATATCATATTTTGTAGTATCAAAAACACCTAAAATTAGACTAAATCGACTACCAAATAGGGAGTTTTAGAGATCCAAAGTTTTCTAAACTGTCAAAATTTTAACTTATGGAAATTTAAAAAATTCATATCTCCTTAAATACTTAGCCAAATGAGATGCCACAATAACTATTAGAAAGGTCTAAATGAGAGCTTTCCATAGGTACCCAATATGTCGTAGAGAAGTCACCAGAATGTTGCCAAAAAATTTAAAAAAAATTAAAAATCTTAAACTAATACTTGAGTTTTGTTAGTGATTTTAAAAATAAAATATGAGAAATAATCCCACATTGGAAAAAGGAAATGATAAAATAGTCATTTAAATTAAAAGGAGCAAAAGTCCACTATAGTTGGACTTAAGTGACTAATGGACCATGAGCTTGGTTTTTCAAGCTTGGTTGGTCTTGCATTAATTAAATAATTAGTATATATTAATATTTAATTAATGGCACTTAGCATTTGACAGTGTAGTAAATAAAATATTATTTTATTTAAAATTTATAAAATTTTATTTTATTTAAGGCTTATAAGTATCTAATTAAAGTCTATCCAAAATAAAAAATAATAATAATAAGAACAAATAGTTAAGTCTATACAAAACAAACAAATAATTTTATTCAAAATGAATAGTTTTAACTATTTAAAAACAGACAATTTCTGTCTATTCAAAATATACAGTTATGCCTGTACGAGAAAGAGACACTTATCTGTTTATATAAAGCTCATTTGGTTTTTGAAAAAATATACATAAAAACAATTATTGGAACTCTTCCTTTCTCTTCAAACTTCATATTTCTTTTATAAAAGTTTTGCTATAGAAAATCTTTATAAAAGTTCAATGATCTTATGATACAAAAATGAATGCTTGGTGGACTGATTTCGACAATGAAAAATATAGTTAGGCATCGGGCTTCAT